GTTTCCCTCAGTGCTCCAGTTTATCCAATGAGATATGATGTTATTAACCAACATCACAGGCATAATTTGAGAAATTACTAAGAGAAACCAGAAAAGTAGGAAAAACTTAAAGAGAATGTGGTAGGCAGAATGCCCCCCCAAAGATATCCGTGCCCTAATTCCTGGAACCTGTGCATATGGTAAATTACACGGCAAAGGGAAATTAAGGTTGCCAATGGAATTAAGGTTGCTAATCAGAAGGCCTTAAAATTGGGAGATCATCTTAGATTATTTGGGTGGGCCCAACGTCATCCCAGGTCCTCAAAAGTGGAAGAAGGAATGAGAAGGGAGGACCAGGGAGCTGGCGGCCTAAGAAGGATTCAGCCCGTTGTTGCTGGCTTTGAAGATGGAGGAAGGGGCCACAAGCCAAGGGATGCTGAAAAAGCCAAGGGAACAGTCTCCCCTAGAGCCTCCAGTATCACAGACCTGTCAACACCTTGATTTTCGCCCTGTGAGACCCGATTCAAACTTCTAACCTCCAGAACTAAAGGGAATATATTTGATATTGCTTAAGCCACTAAATGTGTGGTAATTTGTCACAGCGTCAATAGGAAACTACTACAGAGGCCAAGATCAGCTTTCAAGCTCTAAGTAAAAATCTATATCAATACCCCAAATTCCAGGACTAGGTTTCCCTAACTCTTCTTGGCAACTCCCTGCACCACTGAGCAAGCTTCCCAGAACCAACCTGGTGCTTCAGACATACCCACTCGTGAGAAACAACAAGGGGTCTTGTCTGGACTCAAACAGCGCATCGTACCACTCACACACGGGCTGCAACACCTGGGAAGAGGCTGGTTCTTGCTGCATTCAGATAAAAGTCAAGCAAAGCAAAGATTTTTAGGGAGTAAGGGAAGTTCTAATTCAGCCAGAAAAGATATCAGGTCTAATAGCTCCATATTTCAGGGCCTAACACAGTGCCTGGCATATAAAAAGTACCCAACAAATATTTACTATATGACCAAATGAAAAATGGAGTGTGTGGGCCTGCCAGTTAGCTTCCAACATCTTGTCTACAATTCTTTCTTTCATATCCTCTGAAAAAAAGCCTCAAGACCTTATGGGGTTGAATTTTCCTGGCTTTTTTTGCTCTTGAAGTACCTGCCACATAAAATGTCCAGACATCAAGGAGTAGTTGATGTTGTCTGTTTGAATTCCAAGCATTCATTTAATTTATAAACTCCCAGAGAGTAGAGCCATACCTAATGAATATTAAGCCATACTTTCTTTTATCTGTGACTCATTTTATTTATTAGTTATCAATCTGTCCTATTTGTCCCTTTTCCTCTAGTGCCTCTTCTCCACCCCTTGAATCTGTACCAGCTTCAAATCTGTTCCTTCCATATTGTATCTATGCATCAGAAATACTTTTGGCTGAAAGCAACAGAGTTCTTGATTATCAGTGGCCTAAATCAGGAATCAGCAAACACAGATCCCTGGCCAAATCCTGCCCACTGATTGTTTTTATAAATAAAGTTTTATTGGAACACATTTGTTTACATAGTGTCTATAGCTGCTTTCACACTATAAGAACAGGTCAATTGACAGTAACAGAGACTATATGGCCTGCAATAGCTAAAATATTTACTACCTGGCACTTAAAAAAATCTGCCAAACCCTGATTTAAGCAATAAAGAGATTTAATTATCTCAAGTAACAAAAACTTTCAGAGTAGGAGTTCCATGCTTGCTCAGCTGCTCTCCAACGCCACTAAGAACTCAAACTCCATCTTTTCCTTTCATCATCCTTTGAATGTTGGCTTTTCTTCCTCTTGCTTGTTAGCGCATGTCCACAAGATGGCTCCCATACTTCCAGAGGTCACATCCGGGTCCAAAGCATAAAGAAATGGGCCAGCAAGCCATCCTTGCATAGCTGTTCCTTCTCTAAGGAAGCAAAGACTTTCCAGAAGCTCTCCAGTAGCTTCCTCTTAGTCTCATCGGACAGAACTAGGTTACATGGCCACTCCCAGACACAATGAAATCTGGGAAAGCAAGGCCCTCCTGTCTGCCGGTTCCACATCCTCAGATTCAGCTAACCGTGAAGGAAAATATTTGAAGAAAAGAAAAAAAGCAAAAAATAATACACATTTAAAAAAAAAAAACAATACAGTACAACAACTATTTACATAGTATTGATATTTACATTGTATCAGGTATTATACATAATTTACAAATGATTTAAATATATGAGAGGATGTATGTCGGTTATTTATAGGCAAATTCTATGCCATTTTACATAATGGACTTGAGCATTCTTGGATTTTGATATCCACAGGGGTCCTGGAACTAATACCCCACAGATAAGGAAGGATGGCTGTATCTGGGAAAAGGGTTCTGTTAACAACAAAAAAATGGGGATTCTGTTAGGAAAAAGAAGTGAGAGGAAGAAGTGTGCAATTAATAGTCTCCCCACACCCGGGACAAGGACAAGGATAAAAGACCTAATATTTGTTGACCACCTACTATGTGCTGGGTACTTTACATACTTCAGCTCATTTAATCTTCACCCTGAGGACACTTAGGGATTATACTGGGCCCACCCAGATAATCTAAGATGATCTTCCAATTTTAAGTGAAAGTGCTCAGAGAAGTAATTAACTTGCCTAAAGACACATGCCCAGGGGTGGGGCTAGATGTTAATGCAAATCCTGCTCAGTTTCCTTCACTGGGTTCCCCTCACATCCCATGAGGAGTGCTGAGAGATCAGAAAGTGCTTTCACATGTGCGAGGCAGGCAGGGCGGGAGGCCAGGAGGGGTGAGAGGAAGGACCCTCTCACCTGCCAAACACTGGCACAGTGAGGCACATTTTGTTTACACTATTTCATTGACAACATCGAAAAGCCCTAAAAAGTGGGTATCATTGGTATTACAGATGAGATTATATAATTTAAGTGATTCGGAAGTGACAAGGCTGGACAGGCGTAGTGGCTCATGCCTATAATCGTGGCAGTTTGGGAGGCTGAGGTTGGAAAGCAGGAGGCTTGCTTGAGGCCAGGAGTTCGAGAAGTGGTGGGCTAGAATTGGAACTGTTCATTTAGTTATTCATTTCCCCACAGCATCGAGCCCCTGCAGTGTGCCAGGCACTGTGAAATTTGACTGTTGGGTTGATTCCAAAACCCATGAACTTTCTACTCCCTCCACCATGCTATCGGCTCCATTTTAGAGAGAGGTTCAGAAAGGTTCTGGGGCTCACCCAAGATAACAAAGTTCCTACAGAACAGAGTGGGCCTTCAACCCAAACACTCTGGCCCTAACTCCAGAGTGCCCTTCCAGGCTGTCTCCCTAAGCTGTCCCCTTCCCGGTCTTCTGCTTGTGCTTTTTTAGACCCACTTGATGTCTCCCTGTGTCTATTGTTCAGGCTCTGCAGGCCCGAAAGACTGATGTGAAGACTGTTCTCAGAGGCAGGAAGAGATCAGGTGCCTGTAGAATGGGTTTCAGGATGCTGGAGCCATTGAACTGCTGAATTAATCAACCCTGGTACTCTCCAATCTTTGGTCTTTTTGTTAATGTGAGATGATAAAACTTTCTTTCTCATCGTTCAAGCCTATAGAGTCAGGTTTTACTGCATCCCAACAAGTGTGAAAATGTTGGTCACTGGTCTTCCAGTTCTTACTATCTGGAACACTGAGGCCCCTGCTTCAAAACCATCTTTACTTGCTTTGACATCATGCTGGTTCATGGTGCTGAGTTCTAGTCCATTGAAGAGATGGAGGCTTTGCATTCGTGTGGCTTTTGAAGCCCTGGATTCTGGTTCCAACCCCACTGCTAGCCGGCTCAGCCTTTACCCTCTCTCTTTCCAGGCTTCATTATTGCCCTAGGGGAGCTGCTTAGCCAAGGGGTGGTGAATGGGACGCATGCCCCGTGCCAGTTCTCTGGGACACCATGTGGATCACGTTCGTGGAGCATCAAAGAGTATACACCATATGTTTCCACTCACAGAAGAAACTAGCCCATGGTGTTAGAAATCAGAATAGTGACTACCAGGTGGGGAGGATGATGCTGTCTATAAAGTGGCATATGAGGGAACTCTCTGGGCTGATGGAAATGTTCTGTATTTTGTTTTCTGGGGTGGTTACAGAGGTGTATACAATTGTCCATTTTTATCGAAGTGAACATCTAAGCTCTGTGCAAGTTATTTAAATTATGTGTCAATTTCAAAAATGTTTAAAAGAGAAAATGGATTCTGAGATGGCATGTAGTTCAGCAGTGAAGAATGCCATGACTGGTTAGCGACGTCTGCCACGGACAAGGGAGGGTGGAGATGTCAACACAAGTGCCACAAGTTTGCTGTTCTTGTGCTTCAGCAATGGTCTTCTGAGAGTTTTTATATCACTTATAGGATTATAATGCAGTGGAAGTTCTTTGTATAATATAAATTCCTAGCCAAGTGTGAGATGTTATTATTCACATTTATTCTCCACAATGTCTTGCGCAGTGGGACTGACTTTGGCAGGTAGGTTCCCAGAAAATTCTCCCTGGCTGAAATGAAATGCATCAGAGCCAGATATTTTCAAAATGCCAGGCTCCGCATGAGCATGGACATGGTCTGTCTGTCCCATTATTCACATTGCAAACATTGGATGCCAGTGTGGATCTGCGAGCCTGCTTCCCCATGGCACTAAAGAGCCATTTTTGAAGGTACTAAAATGATTTCCACAGGCTGAACTAGGTAATGTGTTTTCATCTGAGGCTTTTATCCTTTTCTAATGTTCTATCTCAAGATGGGGTCTGGTATTTATCATTTCTCCCTCTCCTTCCAACTGCAAATCTGCAGGGGCCTTTCAGAGCTTTGCTCTGTGGGCTCTTGGTTTATGTCTATTAGCTGCGGCATCTGTTTTTGGTGCTTTCTGGCACCTTGCGGGAGTCGCCTGGATTACTGATGAGGACTGTGCTAACCAGCCTGTATCACTGAGAGGCTCAGGGTTCCGCAGCTGTGCTGTTTCCTGACTGGTGTCCCCACAGAGGGAGCAGGACAGAGCCTGGCAACCGTACCTCTACTTCCGAAGCCAGCTGGAGAGCCAGGCCCGGCGGCAGATCCAGCCCGGGTATTCAGCCAAGAGATACCTCCGAGGCCTCTTGCAGACGTGGCCCCCTGACACCATGTACAGACTCCAACGTGCAGGTCAGCGGGGAAATGGGGGGGGTGCTTCCAAGCTGCCCCACCTTGCATTCTGGTGTAAGAGTGTGTTTTCCATCAAGGCCTGATGGATTTCAGGCCCAATTTTCAGTTAAAGCAAACTCCCCAAGCTTGGTAGCCCACAAGCCTCTATCACGGCTGCACCCTTTGTCCTCCCCACATGTGCAGAGGGAAGGACAGCCTGGGGTCCTGCCTTCACTCCCACCCCTCACCCTCAGCAGCCTCACACTCCACATCCCAACCAGAACTTTCTTCCCAAATCCTCTGCTCAGAGGCCTCAGAGATCCTGCAGTTCAACATCCAGCTTTTACAAGATGAGGGGGAAAAAAGGACCAGAGAGGCAAAGTAAGTTGTCCAAGGTCATTCAGGCAAAAGCAGAGCTGAGACCAGAAATCAGATCCTCCCTGCAACCCCAGCTCCATATTCTTCCCAGCATTCCCCTGTTCCCCGTCTAGGGTGATCTCAGCTCCTTCAGGAAGTGACATGTTAAGCCTCCTCGTCTTAAAGATGGCGGCTCTCCAACACGACCACTTAGGAGTGAGATGGACACCCTTCTGCTGAACAGAGACCCCAAATGCGCTCTGCAAAGGCTTAAAAAGGAAAATGGGAAATGGTCAGGGAGCAGAGTTGCCAGATTTAGCATGTGCACACACACTCCTGCCCCCTCCCTACCCCTCCCCTGCACGCAAACAGTTAAATGTGCAATTTGGGACATACTTCTACTAAAAAAGTATTCATTGTTTATCTGAAATTCAAACTTAACTGGCCATCCTGTATTTTATTTGGCAAACTTATTGGGGACAAGAAGAGTGAGCAGAGGACTTGCCAGTGCCCAGTCGGCTGTTTGCCATGTCTTCAGCAACAGCAAACAGGCAGGGCCAGAGGGAGACTGGCTTTATAGGTTTACCCTGAGAAAGGAGAGAGAGTAGCTCTCTCCCCAGAAAGTGGCAACTTGATGCAAAATGAGAGCTGTGGGCTTGTCCAGTAATTGGTTTTACTTTCATGGCAGTTCCATGTATTTAACACTTGTGAGAAAGAGCCTCTTAACCAAAGATGTGTTTATCACTGGGTGGGACAGAAGGCAGAGCAGGCCACTGTCCCACAGCCTAGGCCCAACATCTTCAAGAATGAAGGCCCTTTTTAACATCAAAAAATATCTCAGACCCCTCTGTGGGAGTCATATGGCTAAAATATGTGGTTTAGGAAAAGAGACATGCACATGTGCATTCTTGGGCCCCTTGCCATGATTCCTTGCCAAAGACCCTCTTGAAGGTGAGGCTCTCAAGCTGGAGACACAATTGCCAACAGCCCCAAGACCCCTGCCACCCTCTCCTCTCACATCTCAGAGGTCACCACCTTTGTGATGCTAGTACATTCTCTGGTCCCTTCTCTGTGTCCCTATGATAAATCTGCAAGCCCACATCTACAAAGGCTTCTCTGACAACTCCAGTCAATACTGAGCTCCTCGCTTTCTGACCTTATGTCACATTGACACTCAGGGCCACACAGTTGAGTACAGGAGAGCTTTGTCTCGCCAATAGACTGTGAGTCTATTAAAAAGGGCCCATGTCTGGTTCCTCTGTATCTACTGCATTGCCTAGAAGAGGGGTGGGCCCATTGGTAAGCTCTCAAGAAATAGTTGCAGAATGACTGGATTGAGAAGGCTCATGGCGCCTACAGAAGCAAGCAGGATACATCCACTACCATCGGGTCTCTCCTCCTGAGGCAGGAGGAGCTTTTTACCCAGCCCACAGGAAGTAGCCATGTTTTCTCCACCAGGGAGACCCAGTTCTTGGGAATGAGGGAACGGAGCAGCGTACATGTGGCACAGGACCAGAAGCACCCAAGGCACTGTATAGAGAAGCCTCTGTGGGTTCTAGCTGATTGCTTAATCCCTCTCATCTTCTAATTGTCTTCTGTAATAGGCAATGTCCCAAACCAGGACTAATGTAAACAGGGGACCTTGTAGTTATCTCCAAGAACTCTAGATTGGCAACCACTATCTCTACCAATAACTCCTGACTTACCCTTCAGGATACATCAAGGATTCTGTGCTGCTCCAGGACAGTCAACCCAATGTACCAAAGAGTCTCAGACCACAGCAGGATCTTTCAGCTGTGCCCCCCAAATACCATCTCCTGCCTGTCTTCCCTCCATTTTGGATTCAACAAGGAAAATCTTTTGATCAAGGTACATGTTGATTTTATAACCAGTTCTCAAATATTTGGATTTTTAACACCTTAAAATGGAATTTCCCAAAATAAGGTCTTGGGATTCTGCGTGTTGCATGGTCCTCCTCTGTAACACGAAGGGGTTAGTCTAGACCAGCACCATCCAATAATATTTTTTGCAAGGATGAAACGTTTTATATGTGCTGTCCTATATATTAGTAGTAGCCATTAGCCACATGTAGCTATTGCATACTTGAAATGTAGCTATTGCAACTGTGAGGCTGAGTTTTTTATTTTACTTAATTTTAATTAATTTATATCTAAATATCCACATGTGACTAGTGGCTACTGTATTAGACAGTGTAGGCTTAGACTCTAGATCTTAGATGATTTCTTACATCTGTTCCACTTTAATATTATTTAATCCTGTGATTTTTGTGGCAATCTAATGTGAAAAAAATAAGCCGTGGAGTCATAAATCTGTATTGCAGTGGCTGATCTCTCAGTTAGTAGTTGTAATATCTTGAGCAAGTCACTTAACCTCGTTGAGCTTCTGTTTGCTCATCTCTGAAATGGGCACAATAAGACCTCATTACCGCACAGAAGATTATTGTGCGTTGTCTGTAAGCTGGTCAGTACTATGGAGATTTTACCTGTAAATATTATTTTGGGGAATTACAAGCACTCAAAGAGCCAGAAGTTGTCTTTGGTAAGGGAGATGGGAAAAGATGACTAGGGAGCAATAACAGGCACAGACTAGGGCCTTGGCTAGAAAAGAACAAGAGCCCAACATAATACAAAATGTTGTCTGAAATAAAAAAGAAATTTTTCAGAAACATTGGCAGTGCCTGACCAAGCCCTATCCTTGGGGAAAGGATCTGAGAGGATAAGTAGAGAACCTGGCTTAATGAATGAGTAGAGAACAGGGCAGGTTCTCAGAGCCTGAGGCCCTTACACATTCCAGCCACACACCTCGCTGAGTCTTGTCTCTGGCACCAGGGAATTCTGGTCATAACCTGATCCACACATGTAGTTTGTCTAGACGAATGATGTGGGACAGGCAATTCTATTTCTCTTTGTAAATTAATACCCTGGTCTATCCATGAATCTCTATGCATTTTGCTAACGTGGGTCAACATCCTGAGGCCAGTTGATTCTGGGGCACTGAAGAGATTGATTTCTGGGCCACCCGTGTCCTGGGGAGTGGTGAGCTCATGCATGTAGTGCCCCTGTGTGGTCACTCGCTGCCCTTCTTGGGGTGGCACACTATCTCACCACTGCCTATGCCCTTTCTCTTCAAAAATCCTGCTGTCTGCAGTTAATATCCTTACACTTTGATGCCCTAGGGTCCCAAAATGTTGGACAGTGGGTTGCATTGCTTCCATTTTATGGACAGATGAGCACTGCACACCTAAGGGGTACAGTGACTTCCCTAACTAATGCCATAGACTGAGGAGCTGCCACAGTCAGGCAGAGGACAGAAAGGCTATATAGAATAGCCATCAAACATGCGGCCATTAGCACCAGATTCCAAGCCAAGTGGCCTCTCTGGGCCTTGGTATCTCATGCATAAAATGGAGATGGCCATACTCACCTTTCCTCTCAGGGCTGGATGTGGGAGTTAAATGAAGTAATGCAGTAGCTGGCACATAGTAAGTGCTCAACAAATGGTAATTGTAAACCTTCCTAGCTTCTGTTTTTTAAGTATAATTACTAATTAATTGCAATGTCCAATTGCTTGTGATCACAGGGGCCAAAAAAAAAAAATCAATTTTAAAAGATGCAAAATGAGCTGGGAGGCTGGAACTTGAACTTTGACTGATGTTTTCATTGGTTTTAACTCTTTTCCCCATTAGCCTCCCTCTCTTTGCCAGACACTTTATCTGGAGAAGTAGCAAAACTCCTGGCTGCAAATCCCAGATCCCCCAACAATGCGATGGTGGCTAAGTCACTTGTGCTCCCTGCATCCTCAGTTTGCTCAGATGTAAAATGCAAATACAACATCTGAATTCCTTCCTCCCTTGGTTGCTGTGAAAAATTGTAGGAGAGGACAGAGCTTGAAAGCTCTGTAAAAGCTCTACATTGCTACCCCAATGCACATTATTTGAGTTATCTGAATCCATATTTGAGATATAGAGACTAAGTTTTGTGGTCTCCTTTCAACAATTATAATTTCTACTACTTTGCTTGCAAGCCTGTTTTTATTAAGCATAGACAAATGAGCCAGATGATGTTTATTTACTGAGAAAAAAAATCCTTGTTTCCCCTCACATTAGATTGAGTCCCATATCCAAACTCACCTGGGATATAGCAAAAGGGAAGATTTTCTCTCTGTATCCCCCCACGCACAATGCCCCAACTTAGACACTTTGATATATGAGACTATTCAGGAGGCAAGTGGTCATTTGGCTAGAGTTTCACTCCACCCTCAGAAATGCATTTAGTTCCAGGTAAATCTGACCAGGAAGGATGGACCTGGGGTCTGACTTGACCCCAAGGGATCATTCTAGAATACTATAAAAGGTCTTTACTCCCACATTCTCTATAGGGAGTTGAGGTCCTCTTGGGGGCAGGCCTAATGTGGCCCTGGACTGCCTTAGATTGAGGAATCCCAGAGCCCGACAGGCCTGCCTGGGCCACTAAAACCTGAGCAGACCCTCTGAACTGGAACCTGAGCCTGCACCTCTTCCACCAACACTCTCAGCATCAGTTCAAACCCAGACAGCCTTTAAGAGCCAACGGGCAGAGGAACGGGAAGCTGGAGGGAGGAAGTAGCCCTACACATGGGCATTAGGCACTTGACCTAGTGACACTAAGGACAGAAATAACAAGGGAGGTGAGTGCTGGGGAGCACAGCAGGAAGGTGAGGCTGGCTGGGGAGGAGAAGCAGCTCCCAGAAGGCCAGTGCTCCACCACACACGGGGCCCCTGCGGGCTCCCAGAGCCCCTGGTTGAAAGACAACCCGCATTGTTCCACAGAGCTGCATGCTGGGAATGGAAGTATTGCTAAAGCTTGGCTCCACACAGGGAAGGCTTGCCAGACTGTTTCAGCAATAAATCTACCTGAAGTGATGAAAATAGCTGCAGGACCCTTTAAACCATTGATGAAAGATTTGTTAACTATGTTGGAGTCATCTGTTGACTCAGATTCTTCCTGAGTGTTGCAGACAGGGTAAGTTTAGCGAGCTGAGCGGCAGTGCCCCTCACTGCATTCGGCAGAGGTTTTTCCACAAGTAAACAGCCAGGAGACAGCCCAGGAACCCAAGAGCTTGCTTTACACAGAGCATCTCAAAGATGACAGAGCAGGGCTGCAAGCCACACCACTGCCGTCTGCTAATCCCTTGCAGTTTACAAAGGACTGTGGTATTCATCGTCTTATATGAGCTCCAGACAACTTTGGAAGGAAGTAAGGGCAAGAAATCAGTATCTCTGTTTTACAGATAATGAAACTGTGTCCAAAAAATGAACCAAGGTTGAGTCTCCTGACTTGTGCTGCAACTCTGTTTCCACCCACCTGGCTGCCACTTCCATGGGGGCACTGTCAGAAACAGAGAAAATGAAGGAGGAACAAGGCCTTGAACACTTTTCTCAGAGAAGCAAGAAGGGAGGCAGTTTGGAGGCAGTAATAGCACCACACCCATTTCTGGGGTTGCAAGCTGACCTGCTGTTCACCTTTGCAGGTCAACAGGGCCTGGATGAAGGGGAAGCTGGGGCTAGTGGACACGTGGACCAGGGCTCTGTAGCCAAGAACCGCAGCAGTGAGGGGACTCACTTGCGGCCATGCAGGAAGCAGCCCTGGCAGGAAGATGAAACCTGGGCAGAGGTACTATTTCTAATGCACTCCCCTGTCGTTGTTTTCCTTGACTTCATAGAAAATTCTCCCTCCCTTCTCTGCTTCTTGGGGACCTCCAGGAAGAGTACATTGACCTTTTTGACCACTGTTTCCCAAAGCATCACCTGTGGACCCCTAGCATTGCAGATGCTTCATTTTAAAAAAAAAAAAAAAAGGTTGTGTAGCCAAATACATTTGGGGAATGCCACATAACATATTCTCTTCCCAGAAAGTCACAGTGCACATCTGGATATAGAGCACTTCCAAAAATTCTATAGCAAAGTTACCAACTCATCTTTGTTTAGCTCTGGGTTTTCCAAACTTATTTAACCACAGATCCTCCCCTGACTCTTCACCCATCTATAAAAAAGGGGTTTTGGCCTTAGACTTGGCAAAGCCTTGGTTTGAGTCCTGCTTCTTATTAGTTGTGATGAGCCTGTCCAAGAAATGTAACTAACCTTGAGCCTGAATCACCTCTTCTGTAAAATGGAGCTGTTATCAGACATATCTCACGAGGTTCCTATGAGAATTAAACAAGTTAAAATGTAGGAACACTTTCTAAACTGTAAGGTGTGCATGTGTGTGTTTGAGTGTATGTGTGTGCGTGTACAAGATAACGGTTGTTCAGAGCAACATAGACAACATCTGCTCTCATCTTGAATAAACTCACTTGACTTACAAGAAGGCCATATGCCAAGGAGAACAAGAAAAGAGGAGAAGATCCACACAGTGGAAGAAGAGAGGGGAGAGACATTTCATGATGGATAAAGACAATGATACTAGCACTTCATTTTTGATTTTTAATTTTTTTTTTTTTGCAAGAAAGCACTCTATGTCAGGCATGGTTAAATGTCATTTTTTCTATCATCAATAAGAAACTTTTTTTTTTCTTTTTTGAGACAGAGTCTCACTCTGTTGCCCAGGCTAGAGTGAGTGCCATGGCATCAGCCTAGCTCACAGCAACCTCAAACTCCTGGGCTCAGGCGATCCTCCTGTCTCAGCCTCCCAAGCAGCTGGGACTACAGGCATGTGCCACCATGCCTGGCTAATTTTTTGTATATATATTTTTAGTTGTCCAATTAATTTCTTTCTATTTTTAGTAGAGACAGGGTCTTGCTTAGAATGGTTTTGAACTCCTGACCTTGAGCAATCCACCTGACTTGGCCTCCCAGAGTGCTAGGATTACAGGCATGAGCCACCTCGCCCGGCCAATAAGAAACTTTTATTATAATAAACAGTATTAGAGATCTTGCTATTATAACCTTACTTTTCCTCTCAGCCTACAAAAGAAATATCATCCATGGAACCACAAGTGTAGTCACGAGGGCTAACTGTTAAAGGAACCTGCTCTGTTCCTTCGTGACGGCCTGTTTACAGCAATGTGTGTCTGTCGTTCCCTAGGACACGGCAATAGAGAATCACCTGCGTGTCTATGCTTCAAAGGAAAGCCACAATGAAAAGACGCAGAAAACCTTCAGGAAGTCCTTGGGCCATGCCCACATCGATCCCTCTTGGCTCCTGAGTGACAAATCTCACGGTACATTCTATGGAAGTGTCTTCCCCAATAATAAGGCAGATTTTAGTGGAAAGAACCCAAATGTCTCGCTCATTGATCTTGGCAAACTTAGTCATGCAGAGTTCATTTGCAAACACTGAGACATGCCTGACATCACTTCCTCGTGCCACTCACCTTAGAAAATGATAGCCAGCGTCCAGCTGGATGTAGGAATAAGACTGACAGACTCCTCTTTGCCTAGTGCTTAGTAACCACACACATTCTGAAATCACACAGCCTGGGATCGAATTATCCCCCACTTACTAGCTGTGATCGTGGGCAAATTATTTAATCTTGCTGAGACTCAGTTTTCTTATCTGTAGAATGGGGATAATAATACCTCCGTAAGGCTATCGTCGGGATTCAGTAAACTAATGTATATAAAATACTTTACATGATTCTTTTCCCATATTTAGTACTCAATACATATTAGTATTACTATCATGATCATTCTCTCCATCACTTGACAGCAAGAGTCCAACCCAGACAATGAGTCAGACTGCAGCTTTCTGAACCGCAGCCTCAGCCAAAGCCATGGCTATTTCAGCACCCAGCACTCTCCCTGCCCGTGTTCCCATGAACCAAAAAGTGATCAAAGTTGAAAGTCAGCTGGTCATCTCCATACCTGCAACTAATAAATTCTCATTTCCATCCTGTTTCTACAGACAAACCAGGGACTGTGAAACTCCACGAGGCCCGAAGTGGCCACTTGTCACGGGAGCCTCCCGCTGGAAGATGCCTTTTCCCTCCTGTGGCATCTGCTACTGGCTCGGAGAAAAACACCCCTGGGGACGTGAAAAAGAAAAAGGTTGTGTGTGTGTTTGCGTGATTAATCCCAATCCAGAAACGAGGTGACTCAGAGAGATATTTCAACAGAGAACTAGGTTCTCTAGCTTCTGAGTTCACCAGGTGGAGCTGGGATAGAGCTACAGTAATTTACTGAATGCTGAAAATCGTGAAGCACAAGGAATTTCAGCTGCCCCACATGCTACCTTATAGCATGTTATTACCACGCTCTCCACTGAGGGTCTATCACCTTTGAAAAGGTAGGGCAAATTTTGCAAGTTTATCAATTCCCTTCAGAAGTTAAGTATACTGGTACCTTCTTCCTTAGAGATGTCCTGGGCTATCTCTGGCCTGGTCCTGCCTTGCAATTCTACATGGGCCTTCAGTGGTGCGAAGTCAACAGTGATGAACAGGAACATGGAGGGGCTCCAGAATCTTCTGCCCTGTAGCAACTGTGTGAAAGTGAGGTTGCTCATGCCCTCTGGGCCACAGTGACCTGATCTGTGTGCACAGATAGTGACGTCAACTTCACAGGGCTGATGGAAAGATGAGACGATGTACTTTCAGGAAAGTATGCTGTGTCCGATTGGGATTACAGCGTCGTTGATTAATTGTAAGGATTTGCATCATCTGATGAGGCACTCCAGGTGGTCCTAGTGCCAGTGAGAGAGGTTGTTTTCAGTCTGTTCAGGATTTTCTCCTGATTTTCACAGATTTCTTATGCCTGATGCTCTAAACCTTTCCATCCACACCAGAAGGGCCCCTGTCTTCCCAGGTTCCTTTGGACCAAGAGTAAACAGCAGGCCTGACCAGCCAGACGCACCACAGGCCAAAGGAAAGCCCTGGATCTCACACCCAGGTCAGCCCAGAACTGGGCCAGCCTCAGAGGAAAGGAGTCCCTTCCCTCACTCATGTCTATGGTTTAACAGAGGAAAGCAAGATTTTCCACTACATTAAAACTCTGTGTAAATTTTTAATTAGAATAAAGAAACTAAGTCTTGGCTTGTCAGCCATACCTCACACAAGTTGTTTTGAGTTTCCACATAGATTTCTCAATGCAAACCTTGTCAAACAAAATGCACAAGGTCAGTATTCAAGAAAGAGCAGTTGGTGGGCAGCCGGCACTTGGACAGTGAAGCTCTCCAGCAACATAAAGATCCTATGTGCATATGTTTGGTTAATCATTTTCTTAATGTCTCAAAATTATAAATATTACCCTGAATACATTTGGTTGCATTTCCTTCCTCAATCAACTCTAAATACATAGGATGCTTATGTACGTTTCTGATCCTTTTTTTCTTTTTGAGCACTGAAAAAGAGACACCAGAAGGGCTCTGTCTTCCCTGGTTCTTTTGGACCACGGGCAAACAGCAGGCCTGGCAGTATTTGTTTGTTTGTTTGTTTGTTTTTTGAGACAGAGTCTCGCTTTGTTGTTGCCCAGGCTAGTGTGAGTGCCATGGCGTCAGCCTAGCTCACAGCAACCTCAAACTCCTGGGCTCAAGCAATCCTCCTGCCTCAGCCTCCCAAGTAGCTGGGACTACAGGCATGCACCACCATGAGCAGCTAATTTTTTCTCTATATATTAGTTGGCCAATTAATCTCTTTCTATTTATAGTAGAGACGGGGTCTCGCTCTTGCTCAGGCTGGTTTCGAACTCCTGACCTCGAGGAATCCGCCCGCCTCGGCCTCCCAGAGTGCTAGGAATTACAGGCGTGAGCCACCGCGCCCGGCCCAGGCCTGGCATTTTGATTTTTCCTCCTGTGAAACTGAACTCTCTAAAACCCAACACACTTATATATTTTATAGAGGCAAGTTCATATGTTAAGAGTTGCACACTAAAAGGAGAAATTTTCAGCAACTTCTGAATAATTGGAAACAAGAAGCTCTATCTACTACCCCAGCATCTCTCTCATATATATAATACACACATACTTTTTTTTGGACAGAAAAACACTAGCCCAAATTAGTGGCTGATTCCAACACACAATGATTTTTTTTCAGCTGTGTTCATATTGCAGAAGTGTGGAGAAGTTTAGATTTTCTGCTAGTAGCTAGATACATTCTAATGAGAGGAGAATCCACTCTCAAAGAAATATCTTAGAAATAATTCTAGTTTCAAACACTATTGTAGTTATATATATTAGCTCATTTAATCATCACAATGACTTTATGAGGTACATAGTACGATTACTCCTCTTTTACAGAGGAAGAAATGGAGTCTTAGGGAGGTTACGTAAGGCGAGCAAACACAAATGCATATTCCTATTTTCTGCCCCTTCTTACCTAAAAGCTTGCAGTCAAATGTTGTTCACCTTGCTTTTTCCCCTTAACTACATATGCCAGGATTTCTCCCTGTAGGTGCATAGAGATCTCAGCTATGTCATTTCTATCCTGCTCAGTTTTCCTGGCTGTAGAAAGAAAGACTATACATCCTCTCGAAGGCTCTTAAATTTGTCATGTTCATAATTTCAGAGGCAGGATAAACAGAGGCATACACTGAGCTCCCAAGAGACCACACAGCGCCACTGAAGTTAGATACCTGGCTCCTAGTGTGGTTAGCTTTACTTCTCTCAGCAGCTGCTGGTGCAAGAGATACATACAATAGGATATGAATACAATATCATTTGCCCCTGCAGGCAGCAGGGCTTGGATACCTGCCTTGGTTGGTTATGTTTTTAAATTTTCTCCAGGCACCAAAGGCTTTGAAATTACCTTCTCTCTCAGAAGAACCACCCAGAGTCCTGGACCCCCTGAGGAGCCAATTTAAAGCCAGTGAGCCCCCAACAGAGCTCTTCATAGTCCCAGTGGAGATTCATTTCCACACCCAACATCCCCCAAGAGAAAAAGCCTGCAGAAGAGGTAGGTTCCGTGTGCATGGGCACTCCTGAGGGAACTTGGGTAGGCCAGGAAGGACTGGGCTGTGGGGTTCTGCCAATCTGACACACTCCAACATCACGGATGACCTTCCCCTGGCTATCCTCGTCAGAGAATTTTTTTTTAAGAACGAAAAGGGTAAAATCTAGAAGTAGGTCTCTTCTGGTCATATTCAATTCAATTTTTAAAATATTTATCAAGCCCCCCATTAAGCAGTACATTTTGTCAAACTGTGAAAGAAAAAGGAAGACAGGCATACACATAAACAAGTCCAATGCACCATAGGTGTTATAAAACTACAAGAATTTTCAAGCAGCTTACAAAAAAAGAAATAATATAAAGCAACACAACTAAAATTGAAATTGAAAATAAAAAATCCTGGTTAAAAATAATAGAGAAATAGATGTTATCAAACATCTCAGCCAAGGTAAAAATGATACTTCAATCTTTGCATCTTCATTTTATAAAAGAAAGATAAAAGTTTGTCCAAAGAGTCATTTTCCTGATTCTGAATTAGGTTATTATATAACAGATGACCTCTACAATCTTTGTCTAGGCAGAGATTTTTGTGCATCTAAGCAAAGTTCTAAGAGAATATGGACAAGGGAGAAATTAATTCTAACTGGAGACTTAGAAAGGCTTTTCGGAGGAAGCTTCTGAGTGACCTCTCACAGTGTCACAAGGAGAAATTCTGACTATTCCTAAGTCATTCTATAGTACTGTTGTCTGAGACACATTCTTGCTCCCGGGACCTCTTGGGCCATCTGAGGCAAAAGGTGACTCCAATTTTAAGAGGATCCTAGTTCTGAGTTATCTAGAAACTTGAGCAGAAACTGCCACTGATTTCTTAATAGCTTTGACTCCTGGGAATTGTACAGGCAGCTGTTTTGTTCTAAAGCTGTTTAGAATTCTTACTGTGAAGAAGGTAACTGCCTAATTATTGTGACTAAAAGATCAGTCAAAGAAAGGGGGCATAAAGGAACTATGTGGGGTGATGACAATGTTCTAAATCTTGGTTGGTTGTGTAGATTATACATTTGTTAAAACTCATTGTACACTTAAGATCTGTGCCTTTCACTATATGCAGATTTTACCTTTCCAAAATTTTACTCAGCTCCTTAAAACACACACACACAACCCAAAACATGGTGTTTTAAAATGTAGATCTTACTATTATTGAGGTGTGGTGTGGCCAACAGATCAGGAGACAATTGCCACTGTTTGTTACCCACAGTTCCCGAGAAGAGGGGCATGCCAGGTCATGCAGGCACACAGGGAAGCACCAGGGTTAGTCAGAGGCAGAAGTGGGGGAACGTGGGCAAGAGTCTTTATTTTATTTATTTATTTATTTATTTATTTATTTATTTATTTATTTATTTATTGTAGAAGAAATGAGCAGGGCAGGGCAAGCAGGCTAAGCAGGTTTAGGATTGGCTAGTTTGAATAATTCAGTGGGCTCTGGGACATAGGAGATGTCCCTAGTTGTCTGATACTAGCCCTGGGTTAATTAGGGCGAGTGAATAGTGGCCCAGCAGTGTAAGAGTTTGGTAAAGGAGGTAGTTCTGGATTAACTGGTTTGCATATAATGATGGGCTCCCAGGTAAGAGGTCATTTACTATCTCTAGGAATTGGCTAGCCCTGGGAGGGACTGACTCCCCAGGGTCAGTCAGGTCCCAGATGTCAAAATACCAGAATAAAAAGATATACTTAATACAAAGAGAGACACGACTACCCACAGTTGCATTAAATCTAATTATTTTCCATGATGACCCTGACGGGAAAATCAGGAAGACCACCAGGCCACCATGAACCAGATTCTTAAAGCTATTAGATGCATCGAGCTTGCCAACACACTGCCAAATGAAAAATAGGAATAAAGTACAAAGAATGTGAATCCATTGAGTTCTTTCTTCTTTTACATATCAGGAAAAAAAGATACATATATATATTAGTTCATGCAAGGATCAACTAACTCCAGAACCAGCTAAATCCAGGCCTCAGAAGATAACATATGGGCAGTACTTTTCTAAGTCTCTCAGCTCTGTTAACTTTTTCTCTCAAGCGGGGTCTTACCCTGTGGGGATAAAGATGTCCTCCTGCAACTCCATGCTAAGCTCCTACCCGTTAACATCTATAGAAAGGATATGCCTCTTAAAAGCTCTTGCAAAAGAGCAAAAACCACCTGATTGGCCAGGCATGGGTCATGTGCCCACCTTGGAACCAATCACTGTGGCTAAGGCAATGAGGTCCTCTCGTGCCAGGCTTCAGTGACATGCACGTCCCTGGAGTCAGGGAATGGACGCAGCTCCACCCAAACCACATGGTGTGAGCAGGGGAGGAGTAGGTCTCCAAAAGGAACAACAGACATCTACTACACCTTGGCTTTCTCTTTGTCTCGTAGGTGCTGCACACCCTGAGTCAGACCCAGAAACAGAAGAGGAGGCCAGGTCTTTATGGAGACCTCCCCTGAAGCATGTGTCCTTGGAAAGGCCACGGGAGTTAACGGTGCATCTCCCAGTGGACACAGGAAGGGCCAGCGACAACTTCTCGCCTCAAGGTAGCTCCTCCTTCCTTTCCACATCCCTCAGGAATCTCTCTCTGAAGGGAAGCAAGGCAAGACATGCAAGGGTCCTCAGCCAAGAAAAAGGAGGCTGGAAGAGAGGTTAGTCCATCCCCCGCCACATGAAGATGGCTCTTGTTCCGGCAGCAGCTGATTTAACCAAAGTGCTGAAGTAAAACTAACTTAGTGTCTAGCTCACAAATTGCTTACTCACCAAATCATCCCCCTACTAATACCTCCTGGTTGCAGATATAAGATGGCACCAGACTTACTAAAATTGCTGCATGCCCTATACTTAATGCTATGTTTCTAAACAATGAAATTTCATCTCTAATCTGTTTATAATATATATTTATTCATTTGAAAGTCCATAATATCAGTAAAAGTCTTCACTCCAATTTTTCAAAACATTATATAAACATTTGAAATTATACACATGGGTGCATCTAAGTGTATGTGTTTATGTGTTAGATAGGTTGGAAGCAATGGACCATATTTAGAAAGTCCTCATTTTCAAAAAATTGAACCTCCTTTTCAAAAGCCATGTGCAAGACCACAGTATCACAAATGCCAAGTGATCTCTGACTAGTGGTGTCAGAAGTAGGAGGATGCACATTAATGTGTATGGAGCTCTTCTTCTGTGCCTTAGTTTTTAGCATGTATTATCTCAGGTACTCCTCACAACAATCCTATTCGCATTTTACACAACCAAAAACTGAAGCCCTGAGAGATAAGTAACTTGCTTGAGGTCACAACTATAAGTAGCCTCACCAGGACTGGAGATCCGGCCTTCTAGTGCCAGAACCCATGCTCATACCGGTTGTGCTGTTCTGCCTTTTAGAACAAACAAATCAATGAACCTAGGTCAGGACGTTCTTGAAACATGTAGGTTTTGAGAATGTCCTTTGATTATTGGAGCAAAGGCTTGTTTGGTCTATCTCTTAAGTGAGAGTTAATTATCCTAAAGACTTTGAAGTTTTCCCTTTATAAAATGGGGCAGGGGGTCACTATGTGTGCAAACAGGTGAGACAGCAGCTTTCCACCTGTGCCCACAATGTCAGGTGCACAGCTAGTGCCCTGAGGTAAACAACCACATTGAATTTTGTCTTCAGTATTATTCATCTTGCACTGCCCTCCACTTGTTTTGAACTGCCATGTCCACCAGGGCTGAGTATCTAGAGCTTGTCCATCCTCTGCTACTCAGCCAGGAAGAAACTAGCCTGAAAAGTCCTTGATACCTTGGTGTGCATTAGTTCAGTATGTGACCCAACCAGGTAGTAGATTCAGAAAGAGATCCAAAGAGGCAAGTTTTTCACAGCAGTCTTTCTCAGACAGAGGTCCCCAGTGCAAGGGTATTTTATGCTATTAAGTGAGACTGTCCCTTTACCACAGATGTTGCACATACCTATTTACTTGCTTAGCTCTAAATTATTTTACCTTTAATATCACAGAAATGAAGCCAGCTTTTATAGATGCAGACATACATACATATTTTATTTTTATTGCTGAACCACCTAAGAGTCAGTTACAGACATTGTCCATTTTATCCCCTATCAGCACATATCTCCTAAGAACAAGAATATTCTCCCTCCTACCCCAGTACAATTATCACACTCAAGAAAGTTAATATTGATGCTGGGTGTGGTGGCTCACACCTGTAATCCTAGCACTTTGGGAGGATCATTTGAGGCCAGGAGTTCAAAACCAGCCTGAGCAACACAGAGAGACTCCTGTCTCTACAAAAAAATTTAAAAATAAGCCAAGTAGTCCCAGTTACTCTGGAGGCTGAGCCAGTAGTATCTCCTGAGCCCAGGATTTCAAGGTTACAATGAGCTACAATCACTCCACTGTACTCCAGCCTAGGTTACACAGCAAGCCCTGTCTCAGGCTGGACGTGGTGGCTCACGTCTGTAATCCTAGCACTCTAGGAGGCTGAGGTGGGAGGATCGCTTGAGCTCAGGAGTTCAAGACCAGCCTGAGCAAGAGCAAGATCCTATCTCTACTAAAAATAGAAAAAATTAGCTGGATGTGGTGACACATGCCTGTAGTCCCAGCTACTCAGGAGGCTGGGGCAGAAGAATTGCATGAGCCCAGGAGTTTGAGGTTGCTGCAAGCTAGGCTGACACCACGGCACTCACTCTAGCCCAACCAACAGAGACTCTGTCTCAGAAAAAAACAAAATAAAAACAAAGACCCTTTCTCAAAAAAAAGGGGGAGAAAGTTAACATTGGTGTAATACTATTTTCTAATTTATAATCCATATTCAAATTTCTCTAATTATACCAATAATATTCCTTGTAGCTTTTTTTTTTCAATCTAGAATTCAACTTGGGATCATGCATTGCATTTAGTTGTCACATGTCTTTATAATCTTTTAATCTCAAAGAGCTCTCCAGTATTGTTTTTTACAACATGGACGTTTTTGAAGAAGATAGGCTAATTGCTTGGCAGAATTGCCTTCAATGTGGATTTGTCTATTTCCTCATAATGAGATTCAGATCAAATATTTTTGGCAGGAATATCACATAGGTGATCTGTCCTCAGCACATCACATCAAGGGCCACAAAATGTTAGTTTGTTCCATTATAGGTCATATTAAATTTTATTGTTTGGTTAAAGAAACTGCCAAGTTTCTCCATTGTGAAGATATTTTCTCCTTTGTAATAAAAAAGTAATATGTAATATTTTGAGACTGTGCATGAAGCCAGCTTTTAAACTCAAATAGCAACAATTGGGTTGAATGTGAAATAAAGAACGCTTTCTCTGAAAGAGATGAAGCCAAGGCCTCAGTCTCTTAGATTCCCAGGTTTCAGGCTTCCTAGAGCAGTCCTTGCTGGTGTTGAGAAGACAAAACAGAGACAGGTAGAGGGTCGGATGTGCTTTATGGAGTGTTATCATCAATCCGGATCCCTCTGACCATGGACTGGAAGTTGTACTCTGCAGTTTATGTACCTTGAGGAGGGAACGTGGTCATTGGTTCTGCCTAGTAAAATTGCTTTGTGGTCAGAAATCTGTACCCAGTAATCCCATGAGCTCTAAAGTTGGGGTCTCCCTGGTCAGAGCCTTCAGATTGGGAGTGGAAGGAGTTTACAGACTCTATAGTCCTACTTCCATCTCATGATTTCATCCATGAAACGAGAATAACCACCACCACTACTCAATCATTCCTGGTTCTTAGCAATTCCCCAAATGAGGGGCTACCATTCTAGTTCAAAAGTAGTTTCATTTTGGCCACAGGAGAAATCTGGTCGCTGCTCCTTAGCTGGACTGGAAAAGAGGGACAAATGAGAATGAGTAGAATAAGCCATCCTAAACACCAGTAGCCATCAACCAACTTAGAAAAGAGGTTTGTTCTCTTTCCTGCTGATTCAGAAGTTTTCTCACTCATGCTTTTTCCCCTTTTGCTTTTGAAGATGATGATGCCCCACCCCAGAATGTGGCCCCACCACAGGATCTTCTACCCCCAATTAAAGGAAGAAAAAGTCCAGAGAGCCAGAGGGACCTGGACAGGGGCCCCAGGACATCATGCTACAGCAGCCCTCCAGGTACCCCAAATGCAAAAGCGCCCAGGAGGGCACCGCCAGCAGGACAAGGTAATCATTCCTGGGGTGTATGGATGGCCTCATCATTGGCTCATCTGTGGCTCATCTCCAGGGCCATACAGCAGCCATGGTGTATGTTTTTTGAAAGGCACCCCACTGAAAAGGAGAAATAGGCAGTGTTTCCGATGATGTCAGCGGGATTACTATTCACTGTGCATATTCCTAAAGAGCCAGTACATGTTTTAAGGTTTGCTGCACCAACATGCACTGCCAAGCTGTTGTGTGCTCTCCTCACTCCTGGCAGCTTTGTGTGATGACACAGCTCCCCGAGTTCCTGGGGGAGACCCACTGCTGTATTTACTAGACACAGTCCACATCCCTTGGGGGCAAGGGAGCCTGATGACCCTGCCAACAGGAGGAGTCCCCAGAGAAAAGTCACCCTCCAGCCCAGGGCAGAGCCCAAGGCCTGTTCACAGAAAGGGAAGACCCTGGATTTCTACTGAAGGGTGAGGCAGGGCAAAGCCATCCCTCTAAGACAGCTTCATTTCAAGTTCTTATCCTTAGGGGCTGACAGTCAAGGAGGGGACTAAGTTGTTTAGACAAGAGCAATAATGCAAGGACAGTGCACTAGCAGCTCCCATGGGAGCTCTGATCTAAAGGTAGGTCATCAAACAAAAACTGCTTAGAATCCAAATTACCCCTGAAAATCCCCAGGGAGGTGCCATGCTGGAGACTGACAGACCATTTTCAAGGAAGTGCAGTCCAGGCAGCTGTTCCTCCTTCATTGGCGCCTGGGGCTGCTTTCCCTGGTTGCACACCAGATGAAGGAGATAGCATGTGTTTGGGGGACAGATTGTGTGAAAAAAGAGGTATCTCTTGTTAACAGCAGAATCACACTCGGGGCTGTAAGAAACTCACACTTTGAGAGGCACATGAGAACTAAGAGCCATCAAGAAGGCAATAGACATCACATCCTTCATTTCATGCTCACTCAGGGACAGAATGCCTCAGTATTAAATCAGTCTCTCTCTCTCTCTTTCTTTCAACACCCACCCCACTTTCTTTCTCTCCCCAAAACATGTACAGGTGAATTCCTGTAAGCATAGATTAAATACATAAAACAATAGCTCCAATCTGTGTTTGCAACCTCTCTGTTTCAGGCAGAGATGGTCAAAATCCAATCCCCTACTTCCCCCCAACACTCTCTTCTCTTTCTCTCTTTCCCTAAAGACACTGTTTTCACTTAGAAATCATTTCAGGGTTGGAACCTTTCTTTCACAACTTCCTCCCCTTTGTATTTGTGCGGCAGTTGGTGCTCTTTTAATTTCGATACAAATGAACCAAACTTGACATACTGTCATGTCAGCATCAGGGGCCTTCCTAGGAGGCTGGATGCCCAGGACAAGTCATACCAAACAGACATGCGATCTACTCTCAGACATCCTTACGAAGGGGACAATCTGATTAGAATAGAATGCCAGGACTATGGCTGTGACAAGAGGACAGCCTGAAACCTCAAATGTTAGTTGGGGGTTGGGGGTGTATATAAGTGAATGCTTGTATAAGAGCACATTTGTCTCTGAGTGTGTGGAGGGGCGTGTGCTTATATGCCCACGTGAGTGCATACGTGTGCTTGTGTGCATGCATGCACACTGTGTGTCATTGTACATATTATATGCACGTGTATCTCTACATATGCAGTCCTGTGAATGAGTATGTATGTTCATATGTATGTCATTGTTCATGTGTGATGTGTGCACGTGTATACATGTGTGCATGTGTGTGGTTGTGCATGTGTGCATGCTTACCTTATGAGAATGTACATATGTGTCTGTGCACCTGCACCTGTGTGAATATGTGTGTGTGTCATGCCTCACTTTGTGTGTACGTGTGTGTATGTATACTCCTTAGCATCCACTGTAGCTGGTGGCCCCCTACTCCTGGCCCCTCTGTCTTGGACACGCAGAAGGTAAGTGTCGTGTCGTATAACATGAAATATATTTGGTCTTTGTTTCTGGTTTCTATCACTGAACTCAAACTCTTGGAATTTCCTGAGTGGCAGAAGTGTCTTTTGTTATTCATAGTCAGCCCCTAGGACAACACAAGAGTTTATGCTAATGAGGTGACTTAGGGTGGGGCCCCTAGGTAGCCTCAGAAAGACCAAGTGATTAGCGATTAGAGGGTTGGAACTTCCAGCCCCACCGGCCAACCTCCAAGAAAGGGGAGGGGGCACTGGAGATCAACTTGAACAAGAGTTGATGAGCTTCCAAGTTGCTGAAGGTGTAGGTGCTGGGTGTGTATCTCACCCAGAGAGGGCGTGGAACCCTGCACACACACACACACACACACACACACACACACACACACACACCTCTTACCCTGTGCATCTCTTCTTCTTGTTCTTCATCTGTATCCTTTACAATATCCTTTATAATAAACCAGTAAGTATTTCCCTGAGTTCTGTGAGCCGCCCTAGCAAATTATCAAAGCCAAAGGGAGGTTGTGGGATCCTCAGTTTATAGCCAGCCAGTCAGAAGTATAGGTCACAACTTGGTGTCTGAAGTGTGGGGCAGTCTTGTGGGACTGAGCCCCTAACCCGTGGGATCTGACACTATCTCCAGGCAGCAAGTGTCAGGATTGAGTTGAATTATAGGACACCCACTTGGCACGTGCTGGAGAACTGCTTGGTGTGGGGAAAACCCCACACATCTAGTCACAGCAGTCTTCTGTGTTGAGAGTGCAAGTAGAGTAGGGAAAAAATGATTTGTCTTTTACTTTTACAGTAAGGTTATAGAAATGCCATCAATATTTCTAAGTCACTGAGGGAAAGACAGCCTCCTTCTCCTGCTTCACCTGAGCCCCTAGAGTCCCTAAGCAGTCCCAGCATTGGTGCACAGACTGCATGACGAGTACTGCTCGGGGCATCTGCCAGAGAGGGAGAGCGAGGCAGGAATCACCAGGGCCTGAGCTACACACACCTGGAGGAAGGGGCTTCCTTTCCTTTCCTTCACACAAGGTGCCCCACCAGCCTAGCCCGGCCCCTGAGATGCCCAGAGGGCCTACCTTTCCCAGACTCTCACAAAGGCAGCCCCCCAATTCATCCCACCTTGACCCTAGAGGACAGAGCCTAAACAATGGCCCTGCTCCGCTGAGGCCCAGGAGTAGGCCTTACCCTATATGCTGGTGAGCACCTGAGCACATGGGCAGCTACGTGCTTGTGCCCACTGGGGTCGAGGGGGGACATGGTCCGGGTTCAGCCCATGCTTGTGCTTATTTTCAAGAAGATTCCAGAGACCCCACACTGCGACACTTCTTGCTGGGTCCAGCTGGAGAGAACGTCTGCCTGTCCCTCCCAGGGCCTACCCAAACTGAGGTGCTTTCATCGGGTGAAGGTAAGACAACACATTCCAGGGCAGCCTTGTTTTCAAAGGGGAAGATTTTACCTACAGCTTCCAAAATTTCCCAGCAGCAGAGGCATCATTAAAAACAGACGCAAGTCAGCCAGTTTCTCCCCTTCGCTGACACAGAGGTGCTTCTGTAGCTCCGACACAATAACCCAATGTTTGCATAACAAGTTTACTCTTGCTGGAGCCTCTGGAGAGAGAAGTTCCAGTGGAATGGCTTGGAAGAGGTCTAATGTGCCATGCTGATGCCTTGATGAGAATGATAAAGCCCTTTTGGTATTTGCCCAAACTAAACACTGCCTTTTCTTTCCAAACACCCTCCAGAGGTGGAGGTGGCTAATTGGTAATCCAATCAGGTATCCTTGTTATGTGCGTTGGTTCATTGCTGTGAATCATCTGGCTCCTGACAGATAGCAAGGCAGTTTCCAAAAAACCCTTCTGGCACGTTAACTTTTTGGAAAAGAGACGCTGGCTCTGGGCAATAGCCGTTTTGCAAAGGAAAAAAGAAATGAAGTCAGAGGGTGATGAGCATCAACCACCCAGAAGCCATCATGATGTGTATGCATGAGTTGTACAGCCAGCAGGCCCCTTGATGAGCGAGGGTAAAAGCTGCACACATTTGGTGGGCCATGTAACAACTGGCTTAATAAAAAGAGCATGGATTCAGAGCCAGGAGATTTGAGTAGCACTGGCCTATCCTCTGTGTTGCCAGATGACTTTGAATCAGTCCCTCATCCTCTCTGTATCCAAGGTTCCTCAGCCAAAATGACAGGATTGACACCTCCACTGAGAAATTCCTGGACTATTGCTGCATTTTACATCTTACTGCTATTGAAGTAGTCACCTAGTATATGGATTTCCAGAAAGGAGAATGCATTTGGTTCCAAACACAGCATCAAAGAACGTCCACCACCACTTGGTTTATACTATGAGTATAAAAATATCATGGTTCCAAATTGGTAGAAACAAGAGTTAGACAGGTGGAGGCCACTGCCAGCACGACACAGCTGGTATAACAACTGGAAAGCGATTCTGATTCTGTTCACCTGCTGCACATTTGTCCACTCTGTTCCAGGAGAAATAGCTCCCCTTTTGCAAAGCAAAAGCCAGAAACAGAAAAGAAAATATTTAGGCTTTAAGTTTGTTGTCACCATTACCAATATGATGCTTCAATCATTTCAGTATCCCTGGCACCTGGCAGAGTCTCTGACATATACATAGCAGGATCACAATAAATATGTACTGAAAAATCTTTTGAAAATTTCCACATGAAAGAGAGAAAGATGAAATTTATGCTGAAGACTTGCCTCCACCTGCCCCAGTCCCATAGACAATAAATTTAATCCTACTTGCCTCTCAACCTAAAGGTATTCACTGTGTGCATGCTGAATGAATGAATGAATCAGTCACTCTGTCTGGCCTCTCCTCCATGGACAGCTGGTTGACCTTCAGTCTTGGTGGTGATAGGATGGTGCTCTGGATGGTGGGGATGGATCTTAAACCCAATTCTCCCTACAAGGGTCCATAGAACAGGTCTAGCTTTCTAAGCACCTCTATTCAGAGGGAAAAGGGTCTTGCTTTGGGGGGGGTTGGTTTGGTTTGGTATGAGAAGAAGTACACTAAAAAAACTTTTTCCTCTTGCAAAGGAATTGCTCCAACCACACTGAACTCTCTGCAGCTCAGTTCAGATCTGTCTTTTTTTTTTTTTTTTTTTTTTTTTTTTTTTTTTTTTTTTTTTTTTTTTTTTTTGGGCTGGTCAAGTGGAGCAGTGGGAGTGGAGAAGGAACAAAGGAATCTGTAACTGGTTGTGATCAATTAGTTGTAAACACCACTGCACTCGGACCAACCCAGATCTGTCTTGAACACCATCTTCACCCTCCACTCCCAGTCTCATCCCCCACTATATTCCAGCCCACCCTTTTCTTATCTCTCTGATGGCCCAAACATTCAGTCTTTATTCTTTTCTTTCCTAGCATTTGCCCAAGTTGCCCCCAAATATTTAGAATAGCTTTAAGTTCATCTTTTCTGGGATGTTTTCCTTGATAAATCCACTTGATTTCAGATATCGGTCACACAGCAAAAAAAAAAAAAAAAAAAAAAAAAAAAAAATCCACTTGATTACACATAACGCCTAGATGTAGTCTCAGCCCATTCCTCTCTCTCTAATCCCACTTATGTGGTTATTGTATTTATCTGTGTCTGTTTTCTGTTTAGCTCCTACTATATGAGTCCTTGAGAACTTCTTACCTTTATTATATGTCCAAGAAATGCTTGCTGATTGACTGAATACCCCAGGTGCCACAAAGGAAAGTTCTTTGGGGATCATAGTTGTGGGTTTTTTTTAATTAAAAAAAAAAAAAAAACTCTTGAGTAAAGGAAGGAATATGATCTGTCTGATCTTTCTGAGACTTTCAGACTCTGTCAACAACTATTTGGAAATAAATTCTTATGCAATTAGATCATGATATCTTGCTTTCAGACAGAATAGAGAAATGAATATAAACCCTCAGAAGAAAAAAAAAAGATTTGAAAACTAGAGCTAGAATTTGACCCCTTTGGTCAGGTTAAGATATTACAACATTTAGAAAATTCAAAGGCTTAAGAAAGGAAAAGTTAACTTGGAAGGATACAAGTCAAAACATTGGAAACAGTCTCCGAATTGCTTATTCTTGATTGAAATCTTTCATGTTTTCTCCTAGTCACAGTGCCAGCAATAGAAGTTTTCTCTCAGAAGTTCTTCTATTCAGAAGTTTGTTTTGCAAGTTCAAGGATGTCTATGCCAATGACTTGGGTTGGAACCTCAGGTCTCTTTCAGAGTTTCTAAATACTATTTGTTTTTGTCCTAAATGGATTTTTACCCTCAACATGTTTCTTGATTCTTGGGGTTGGCAGGGGTGGAGGTGGTGGGGTGGAGTTTGGTGGGTTTTGGGTTTTGTTTTTTTTTTTTAACATCCTTCCCTCTTGCAACTCTTTCTTGGTGTGGTAGTTTTAAAATATGTCCAAAAATTCATTTGATACTTCTCTCTTCAAAAAGGAGAAACTAACTCTCCTTCCCTAGAATGTGATCTGGATATAGTGGCTCACTTCTAATAAGTATAGACTATGACAGAAATGATGGTATGTGACTTCTGAGACTGTGTCATAAAAGGCAGGTCCAAGAATATCCCAGCTAGTCTCGAAACACTTATTATTTGGGGTCACTCATATGCTAAATGGTTGACTTTCTCCTTGTTCTCTCAATTTGTCATGTGTAATACATTGGTTGTGGGGCCCCATGGGTTAAAGAATCCTTCCATGTTTGTGGGATATTTGGCAAAGTATGATTTTTATTGAGTAGCCTATCTCTTAGTAGCTGCTACCTTAGTTATGCTGCCCAGAGATTTAGAGGAGGAGAATTGCTTTTGATGAGGCTACGTGAAGAAAAAGAAAAAATTCTGGTTTTATTCTCAGCTCTACCACCCATGATATCTGTGATCATGGGCAAAAAACTTCACTGCTTTGGACCTCAGCTTCCCCATATGGAAAAAGAAGAGTTGGTGTAAGATCCAATCCTCCCAGCACATGTTCCACAGAATGCCAGTTCCTTAGAAGGTTAACAGGAATTATGTGAAAAAGGAAAGGCTCTGGGTCAAACACATTTGGAAACCAGTGGGCTAAAGCTAAGCAGATTCCTTACTGCAGGATTTCACAGAGCCTCTAATATGCTAATGTGAATCATGGTTCGAGATGGAGATATGTACTGTTTCCTAAACTTATTTGACCACTGAATACTTTTGATTTTAGCAAAGCAGCATGTGGATCTAAATAGTTTCTGGAACACACTTTGGGAAATGATGATTTCTAAGGTTTCTACCAGCTCTAACACTGTATGTTTCTAAATATGCCCCTTTCCCTAAGAAAGTTCTCTCTGTGGGGCAGTTCTTTTGTCTAAATCCTGAAACAGGATCTTAGCCATTCAATAATTTGTGATTATTCTTATTTTCATTCTCCAAACATCAATTCCAAATTTGGGCTACTCATGCTGGTACTGAGCTCATGAAGACTGAGCATGCCAAGAGCTGGTTGCTGTAGCACCTCTGTCAGCAAAATTCTCTACAAAATTCTCTATAGTCACTATGCTTCTTCTTAAAATACCTGGGTGGTTTCCATTCTGCACTGAACCCTGACAGATAAACTCTCCTTAAAGTAGTTATAGGAGATTCCCATTAGGCTTGGCGGCGTGGGGCTAAATTGGTTCTATCACATGTAGACCCAATTTAGCGCTAAGTAGTTGCAGAAGGGCAGCTGTGAGGGCTGTGTTTGTCCCAGACTTCGGAAGGAAGCAGGGTTCTTTCCCTCACCATAGTGAGACCAGCAAGGCCTCACAGCCCAGGCTGGAAGCTACCAGCAGAAAGCTACTAAAACACACTAGGGACTCCCTTTCCTTTCCTTTGACAAAAACCTCTTGTGATTCCTAGAAACACAAAGACTCTCCTACCTCATAGTTGGCTGAAAAGGTGGCATCATCACCATTTATGACTTCCAAAAAAGAAAAATGTCAAAAATAATAGCTTGTTCTGAATCTACCAGAAATTCATTTTTTGAAGAAAAAGAACAGTATGAAGTGCTGAAGAATATTTAATTTCTCTTTATTTTTTGAAGTTTTTGGTACTTGTATCTTTTCTTACACAGCTCATGAAGCTATGAATTCCATCTCCCTTGCATTTGTTCTGTTTAGCAGAATCCTAAAGTCAGGAGGCAACTTAGGTGTCACCTTCATCAGTATTTAAGCAAAGGAAGCATTTACTCAGATTTGCTGAGGATATCCATTGATAAAGCAGATAAAAGCAGAGCTAACTGGTTGAGTGGGGATGACCCAATTAAGTCCCTCTCAAATTCTCTATGGCCCTGTTAACTCTTCCCCTGCTGTAGGTGGGGAGTGAGGACTAGGCAGGGCCAGTAAAACTATGAGACCACAGTTTGAAAATACTCTCATTTTATGGATAAGGAAACTGAAGCCCAGGAGGGATATGATTTGCTCAAGATCACACACCTTTTATATGGTAAATCCAAGGCTCAAATTCAGATCTTCCTGCACTCAGGTCAAAGCTCTTCCCTAGTCCCTCTTGTCCCTCAAAGCCTCTAGTCCCTCTTGTCCATGTTTCCAGGCTTCAAGAACCAGCTGAAACCCCCCTTCATTGTGATGCCTCACCTGACCACTGTGGTCACAATGATTGCTGCTTCCTTAAGTTCTACTCATTCTTATCACCTAGACATCTTATCAGGCACTCCCTCACTTCCTTCTTGCTTTTATACTTTTTCTTCTTTCCCCTCTTAGATTTAAAATTCCTGTGGGTGGATACCCCTCATCTATCACTGAATATCCCAGAGAACACAGTTGGCCATTGCCAGAACACATTGCCAGAGCACTGCCCATAAATAGTGATTGAAACTGTGAGTAGTAGAGACTTTAATTGTTCCTCAATGTCCATTCTTCCATTCTTCCTTTTCTTAATAGAATCCTCCATTCTGAATTTTAGCTGAACACATGGCTGCCTAGCGAGAGATTATCCTTCCCAGCTCCCCTTGCAGAGAGGTATGGCCATGAGACTAAGTTTTGACTAATGAGATGTGAATGGAAGCAGCATGTGCAACTTCCAGGTCATTTCCTTAAAAGGAAACTCTTTGCCTTCACCCTCCTCTTTCCCCTTGGACTTGGTTATGGTAATGAAATAGCTACAACAATATGGAAGAGAACAATACTGTATGGGATGATAGAACAATAAGATATAAGGAACTAAGGTGCCCAGAGAACTTCATGGAGCAGAGTCACCCTTATCCATCCACCCACTTCTGGACTCTTATATGAAAGAGAAATAAATGTTTATCTTTTTGGGTCCCTTGTTTATAGCAGCTTACCGTATGCCTTAATAGAATGCAACTACAATAATACTAATATTTCACATTGCTTTGTGAAACATAAGCGAGATCATACTCGCACTCCATCTTGTAAAGTATTAAGTAAAATCCCAATAGGAAATATCATTGGCCCTGAAAGAGAAAAGACCCATTACATGTGTGTTTGACTCCTTTGATACAATGTACTGAACACCTACCATGTGCAATAGACATGGAAGGATGCTAGTATCAAGAGCGAACACTCTCAAGTACCTTGCTACATATATCAACTCATTCTATCATCCCAATAATTGTAGGAAGTATTTTCATTCACATATCATAGGTGAGGAAATTGGAACACAGGGAGTTAACTTACCTGGTAAGGGCAGAGCTGGGCTTCATTCCCAGGCCTGTCTGTCCCAGAGGCTGCTCTCTCCTCACCCCCCTTCTCCAGACTCCATGCTGGGTACTGTGGCTACTGCCCTTCAAGGACTTCACAGTCCACATGAAGAACAGAGTCACAAGCAACCAACCCTAATCCACAAGGCAGGATGAAATGAATGCTGCAACAGAGGCCTGAGAATAGAGTCAGGGGTGTTCAAGGAAGGAGTGATTAATTCTAGCCTAGGAGACTGGGAAGAGCTTTTACCAGGATTCTCCATTTGCACTTGACCTTTGAGAAATTAGAATAAGTGGATGGATAAACAGAGAAGGGGCCGGCAGCAAGGGACCCGCATGACCAAAGACAAAGAGGAGGGAAAGTGGAGGACATGTGGGAAATGAGGACTCATCTAGAGTGAGTGGACTGTGGAGGGGTTTCCTGGGGTTAGCTGGGCCTGAAAGGCAGGCCAGGGCCAGAGCAGGGAAGGCCTTGTGTGCCAAGAGAGAGCAGAAAAGCTGCTTCTTAGACAACAAGGAATCACAGATGTTTGAGGAGGGATGTCATGCAACCCAAGGTGTGTGCCAACATGAAGGAACAGGCAAAAGAAAAGGCAGGGAGCTCAGGCTACTGTAAAATCACCCACCTGATGAAGGCCTCAACAGAAGTGGGCAGACCATGCCAAACAGGGAAGATCCCCAGGGCCGCTGACTGGACGTGGGGATCTCAGCCAGCTCTCTGAAATCTGAGCAATCAGCGACAAGCCTGTTTGTAGTGTCTCTTTACAAAACTGGCTACAATTCTTATCTCTGATCTTCTGCTCGAATTATCTGTATTCTGTTTTTACTTTCAGTTAAGATTACATTGTTAGAGGGGGTGCATGTGTGTCTCATGTATTGTAATTAAGATAAAACAACAATTAAGGCCCCAGAGCCCTTGTGACTCCCATAGCTGCTCATATAGCACCACAGCTCTGGCAGCCTCCCTTGCTTTTCAAACTCCCACCAGCACAAATAGAAAGAAGATAGACCCCAATGTTGCGTGCCACTCAGCTTGTCAGTAATGCAGTGTGGCTGTTTTCTGGTTTACAGGCTGTAGGGCTACAGTTTCCAACCCCTGCGCTGGTACCAGTACCGGTCTGTGGCCTGTAAGGAACCCGGCCATGGCAGGGCGGAAGAGCGAAGCTTCCTCTGTATTTACAGCCGCTCCCCATCACTGGCCGTACCCGCCTCCCCTGGTCCATGGAAAAATTGTCTTCCATGAAACTGGTCCCTGGTGCCAAAAAATTGGGGACTGCTGCTTTAGGGGAAATGGTTGCACTTCCTAGCAGACAACTGCGGTAAATAATGAATTCTAAGGAAAACTCAGATAGGAACTTCTAGGGAGCGAGGAGGAGGCAAAGAGCAGGGTGTAGCAGTAATAGAAAGTGTTTGTGTAACCCTGCAGACCCTCTTCCCCAACACACTGAAGTTTCTCTTTCATGACTGTTTTAGCCTCCTTTTCCCTTTCAACCGCCGACCACTCAATTCTTTGAGGGAAAATTAACATTCATTATGCAATTTATCTCTCTCCTTTTAATCCAGAGTGTCTGTCTCCAAGGTCCCTACTCAATAATTAATGTTTGTTCTCATTTCCCATTCTCCAGAGCATCTATTCTTGAACTGTAGGGTCAACAATTAACACTAATTACGGCTTTTTCCGCTCTCCAGTGTTTGTTCTCAGAATCCCAAGCCGCCTGCTCAGCCCAACTTACCGGCCTGCACGTGGCCACATGGGTGCACACTGGGATGGAAGGGCACAGAGAGGCAGGCTTCTCCAAGCCCCACCGCGGTTTAGCGAATGATAAAACCCAAACATCCTTTTCGGGCAACCTCTCTAGTCTATTTGTTATCAGTAATGAGACAATGAAGAAAAACAAATAAATAAATGGAACTATTTGGAAATAAGTTCGGGTGCATAGTTAGACTAGGAGATCTCTAAATCTTTTCCAGCTTGAATGTTCTAGGATTCCCTGTGACTTTTTCTTCCCTATTGCTATGTCCTTGATACTGTACACCCCCCACCCCCTCTTCTCTCACACATACACACAATTTCCCTTTTAAAACCATTCTTTTTGGCTGGGGGAGGTGGCTCACACCTGTAATCCCGGCACTTTGAGAGGCTGAGGCAGGAGAATTGCTTGAGCCTGCAGTGAGCTATGATGACGCCACTGCACTCTAATAGCCCTGGTGACAGAGAGAAAGAGACTCTGTCTCACACACACACACACAAAAAAGTTCTTCCTTCATTTAGGCCCCACCCAACTGACCTCTATATTATCTATTGCCTCTCCCTTCACTGTCCTTTTCAGGTCTACCATCCTAATTCTCATCAGCCATCAAAACAGCACTGTTTTAACTAGTTTTCATTTTGACTGACAAGAACAGCTAGGAGAATAATTCTCACCCCGGGTGACTCTAACAGATCGCAAAAAAAATTCAACAGGAGCTGTGAAAAAGCCTGTCTGTCTTTTTGGCTGGAATCAGATGGGCTAGAATCCCTCCTGTCTCCCCTGGTCCAACCCTCATATTTGTGCTACGGCTGGAGAGGAGTTCCTCGTGCCTGTCTGGCGTCCCCAAGGCTGCATGCACTGAGGCCCGTCTGCTGTTCAAATCCGGGCATCTCTTCCCAGCATGTCCAACATTAACTGTTTCACGCTCTTGCTCTGTCAAAAGTTCTCCTCTCAGGATTTAAGCATCCTGGACCCTGCAGGGTTTCTCCTTTAAATATCTCGGATGAAAACATTATCTTCTTCAATGCTCTTTTAATCCTAGATATGCCTTCTCTCCTGAATAGCATCTATGGATTTTCAAAACCATCCAATTTATTTTGAGGCATAGGCATCAAGGCATCTACTTCATGTTTTTCCCTGTACTGGGGTAAGAAAAATAGATTTTTTTTTTCAAGATTTTTTCCATACTCTTAGGTAAAATCCCTTGTTGTTTTTCAGCCTATGAATCTGTCAATTCAAATAGCAGCCATGAAGTAGAAGGGTCCGGCATTCAGCATCTCCTAATAGGTGAGCTTTTTCCCTGAAAAGTTACCTCTACTTCTCTATGTCATTTGACTCATGAATATATTATTTCATATCTAGGCCTCCAAAAACACATTACTCCCCCTTATTATATATCAATAAGAAAGAGGATTTACTTCTTGAAAAGCCTAAAAACTGTGGTGCGTTCATGAGTTACTTATATGATGGACTGAGTATAAATATTAGAAAAGAAGAAAAGTCAGGTTGAACCAAATGCTTATTCTTAGCTAGCCCAGGAAGGGTAGTTGTCAGGGATGTCCTGTGGTTTCACAGGTTACACACTGCACAATTCCCATGATAATGAGGTAGACACTGCCCCTTTGAGTTGTGCACAGCTCAACCTGCACATCACAAGCTAGGAACCTGGGAAAGACTCAGGTTTATATTTTAAATGGAGGACTGAGCCCTGTTCTGCCTCTTCCAAGATTCCTTTTATATTTCAGTTCCCCCATGGAGAGATCTGCAAACACTGGGCATGTACGTTGACTGTATAGCTCATCCTCCACCCACAGTCAAGGCTGCTTCTACTTCATTCGGACCAGAAGGAAAGGATGATTACCTAGAGACTTTCTCCCTCTCCTACAAACAGTCTTTGATTAACAGAAAAATGTGTGTGGCATTTCTTGCTGCTTATTTTGGGGCAGGCAGCAATGAATCCTTCATGAAGAACCTGCTGTAGAAACAGGAAGCAATGCCACATATCAAGGGTTAGAGCCAGAGCTGGGTGGAGGGAACTGTTTTTGCCAGAGATTGCAAAACTAGGAGAAAAGACACAATGATATCCTTGCCAATCTCAAAATCTGCAAGCAGAGAAATACCTGGGAGTCTGGCCCTCTACATTTACTCCCTTGTCATCTTCCTTAGGCGACATCTTGACTATGGTGAGAAGAGTTTCAGAGTCAGTTCTGCTCATTGTCATGCATTGGTTAGAACTGGGCCAGAGCAGCTTTTAAATAGGAGCCTTCCAGTGAAGATGATGATGATAATGATGATGGTGGTAGTGGTGGTGACAGCTACCATTGTTCTATATCTCTGATATGCCAAACATTGTCCTGAGTGCTTTACAGTCATTTCACTTCATTCCTACAGCAATGATATGCAATAAATCCTATTATTGTCTTCATTTTTCCCAGAGGGTAATGTGGCTCAGAGAGGTTCAGTGAGTTGCCCACGGCCACACAAAGTAGTGAAGCTAGAATTTGAGCCCCAGGAACTTGCATTTTACCACTGTGTATAGTTAGTAGTGGTATCACTCTAAGTAGGCACATTCCTATCTGACAATGTATGAGGGTTTAGGAAGTCCTTGATTTAGCAATGACCCATACAAACACATGGCTTCTGTTAAATACCTATTTCTCCCTCCAATTCTTCTTACTCAGCATCAGGAACCCTTCTGTGAGTAACACTGAAAATTATTTGCTATTTTTAGAGATATTATAAGGAAAAGAGGAGATGCTGGAAAAGAGTAACAGTTTGGGAAAATCAAACTCTTGAGACAAATTTTCAAGCTAGATAGGCCTATTACAGAGTAGTTTTCCAGACCACAATATTCTTCCAAATATAGCCTAAAATATTACAATTTCACTTCATTCTACTAAAATCTCAGCAATAAAAGATTTGCTTTGGATTAAAAAACATCCTTTAAAATACTGATGCTTCTGAGAAGGTAATAGTCTGTCACACTCCAGCAAAATTTATTTAATCAGATAGCTGTCTTCTTGCAAACTAGCTGAGAACAGCTGGTCTGAGGAACTAAAAATTCTCACAAGGGTGGAAAAGAGGTGAGTGATTTGAAAGTAAGCAGAGTTTTAAGGGTTGAAACATGCCTGATTAGAGGGGTGCCCCAGAATGCTTGGATGAACAGAGGAACATTAGCTGTATGGAGAAGGGGGCACTAGAGGGAGAAAAGTACACAAAGGGACATTATGGGGTGCCAAAGGCAAACTGCTATTAAAGAAAGGCCCCTTGGCAAGCTCTAGATCCAGGAAAGGGAAAGAAAACTTTGATTCCTTCTTCTTTCTATTCCTAGTAACTAAAAGACCTTGGACTAACGCAACTCTTATTTCCAAGCTTTAGAACGTACTGTTCCCTATGCCTGGAGCATAGTTTCTCATCTCCTCCTATCTGACATTCTTTATTTTAACTGTTGTAAAATACACATAACATAAAATTTGCCATCTGAACCATTTTCAAGTGTACAGTTCGGTAGCATTAAGTACCTTCACATTCTTGTGCAACCAATCACCAAAACACTTTTCATCTGGCAAAACTGAAACTTTATACCCTTTAAGCAATTCCCCCTTCCCCTCTCCTCTAGCCCCAGGCAACCACCATTCTACTTTCTGTTATCCCCCAACTTTTACCCCTAGTCCTGGTTAACTCCTACTAATCTTTCAGTTACCAATTTAGTTCTCAAGCTGACCTCCCTCTGCATGGTGGCTTTCCTGCTGCCTCCTCCCCCACTCTCCCCACCCTTCCCCCACCCCCATGCCTGAAGACTGGGTGACAGGTCCCCGCCACATGCACACATTGCACCCATGCTTACCCCCTCACAGCATCTCTCTCACAGTACTGTCTACCTACTAGACTTTTCTCTCCTTCAGACCACAAGCTACTTAGGGGAAGGGACCCACTAGCATCCTCAGTACCTACAGCTAACACATACCTACTGTCTATGTCTCATAATTATTTGATGAATGAAAGTGTTCAGCCACCATATGGGTTAAGCAAACTTTTTGTTTTTTCCAGTTGATTTGAGGGCCTAATGACCATGCAAAACATAGTCTGCAGGAAAATGCATTCCAGTGATTGCCCATGTATAAGCATAGCGTGCCTCTTTCAGGACTTAGAACCTTATTTGTTCCCTTGATTCCTTAACAAAACATTCTTAAATCTACTTGTGCTTAACATTCCCCATTTGTTGTTAAGGAAATGGATATAACATTACTCTGAAAACACCTGATACTGCCTGGAATTGAGTTCAAAGAGCAATTTAAAATATCTATTTATTGGAATCACATATAGAGCTTTCACAACTTTTTGTTTTCTTTTTGGTCATTTGGCTGTAGTGAACATTTTCAGATAAAAATGATAGGATGCTAAAAAAAAAAAAACTGTATAGACAGTGGACTTTGGATGTTTTGAGATGTGAAGGCCAGTTTCAACTATTTGAAATGCCCTCAAAAGTCAGGGACACATACGATTTGTCATTTTACAGAGGAATTAAGTCAAGTCATAGACATTGCAAGGCTGGGAGACAGGAGACCATCACTAAGCTAGTGAGTGAGCCTAGCCAGCCTCTCAGCACCCACATCCCAGTATTGTGTTCCATATTCATTGTAACATCTGCAATAGCTCTTGTGCAGTTACTTTTTAAACAGAAGAACATTAATTTTACATTTATACACACACACACACACACACACATATATATGTATATATATATTTATTTTTTTATTTTTTTTTTACGGCCTAAAAGAAGGCTGACTGTAGCGCTGGGACTAGGGATAGACCACTTCACTTTCTCTTACTTCTAAAAATTTGATGATTCTCTGCCAAAAAAAGTTGAATAAATCACTCTAGTCCTTTATTTATAGACTCATTTAGAGTTTTAATAACTCCTCCTCTTTTTTCAATTCTACTAAAGTTTTATGGGGAATACGGTATACACTAGGGGTATTCACAAATCTAAGGATTCTTGAAATTCTCAGGATGCGTCCCTCACAAGTAGCCCAAATCTGCTGCTCACTTAATGCATAGTATACATGAGGGATTAGGGCCTTGCCTGAGCAGTGAAGTAGTACTTGGCACAGTGCATTTTAAGGCAGGTATGGATTTCAATATTTAGTGTGTGCTTGTACGTGTGAGTTATATTTCTCAACTTATAATAAAATTTAGAATACTGATTTTTATTCTGTTAAAGTGATCAAAAAAGTTATAATTCATTAACCAATAATTGGTAAATACTGTTTTCTATTGTACCATGCTTCAGACATTTGTGTTATCTTCTCATCAAAGAGAGGCATGAGGCTTTCCTTAAAAATTTTTTTCATCCTAGTTTCTCTCTCTTGCTTCTTTCACACATTTTGTAGCCTAAGGATTTTGAGTTGGTCTCAGCTTCTTCACAATTCCTCCTTTGAAAGTTAATATAGACAGTAGCAGAACATGTTCAACAGAAAGAATCAGTGAGTCTGTTTTACAAAGCACAAACAGATTGCTCATTCATTCATTCAGCAAACACAAATTGACCATCTACTAGTGATGAATACTATGCTAGGCACAAGAACACAGTTGAGAGTCAGAGTCTGTGCCTTAAAGCGGTCCACAGTGGTGGCATGTGTTGAGAGCTAAGAGTGAGCACAGACTGACTCAGCCTGGAGGTCGAGAAGGCTATTGAAAGGAGAGGACACATCAGCAGAGTTTTTCCAAGAATATATGCAGGAACTAGCCAAGTAGTAAAGAAAGGATGTTGTAGAGGAAAGGACCATATGAAGGTTGGAGCACATGACATCATGGGAGAAAAGTAAGCAACTTGTAATGACCTGGGCCCCAGGATACACGTAGAAGAGGGAATGGTGAGAAATGCTGCTGACGGAGTAGGCAGGAGGCAGATCATGAAGAGCCATGGGCAGCAACTAAGGAATTTATCCCAGCAGCTGTGGGATTCTGCTTACATTGGAATTAACATAACCAGATTTTTATTTTAAATAAATGACTCTCCCAGCTATGTAGGGAATGGATTGGAGGAGGTAAGACTAGAGGCTAGGACACTAGATACCTATATTTTTCTGAGACCAAATGACCAAAAACAATATATTCTGGAGAACCAAGACCACCATGTGAATTGAATTGGCTGGCTGCTTTGATGTAGATCCTCCTTTTGCCTCTTGTTTGAATTCCCTTCCCCCACTGTCTTCCACCACTGGTATCGTTATTAATCCTGTGATGTATCTTGATTGGAGGTTTCTCACGTAGTTGATATTTTGTTGCTACTCAACTCTAATTTAAATTCTGTCTTCTAGCTTGGCTTCCATTTTTGGCTTGGAAAACTGCCATGTACCCTTGGACTTCTCCATAAAAAATAATTTATGAGATTTTGAGAGAAGTTGATGTTCTCAAACCTAAAGCCAGACCCTTGAGACTTAGCTAGCCTTAGTCTAAGAAGATATATGTAAATTAGCTAGCCTTAGTCTAAGAAGATATAAGTAAATAAAAGGACTGTTATTTCAAATTAGAAGAAATACCTCACATTTACTAGGCACTTCCATATTTAAATTCAGACTGACTCATATTTTCTAGATCTGTCTACTAACTCCTTAACTCCCAGGGGTATGTCTTTAGCCAGGAGACTTGCTCAGGTCTCCAGCATCTAGCTGATAACACCCATCTCACCCTCCTCCGCATCCTAGAAGATTTAAAGCAAAAATGTGTAGCATAAACAGGGTATTAAATCTTGTCCCAAGAATTTGATAATGACAATACCAAAAGGACGTCTCGGGTTTTGGTCTCCTGCCTTAAATAAACAGGCTCGAAATTTATTATAACACTACAAACACTCTATAGATCACAGGCATCTTGAGTCACATCATATAAAATAAAATATTTTTAGATATTCTTAAGGAAAGTTCAGCAAGACCAAAATTATCCTTCCTTTTATGGTTAAGTTTATACTGGGAACAATTTTTTAAAAAATAATCTGGAATTTGCATTTTCCATTTATGACCCAAAACACAAAACCATGCCGCTACCAAGGCTGACTTTTCAGGCCTTCTTCCGTTGGCTTTTGCTACGGCCAGCAAGTCCATGTGCAAAGCTGTGAGAAGGCAAAGGAGCTTTCTGAGACATTTGGCAACAAGGGGGGATATACCCCCCTTCCCGGTGATGAACTGCTGCAAGTTATGGGGGAAGTTCTACAATAGCATAGTAGCAATCAAAGGGTGCGCATGCCTCAGAGATGGTATATGCAGGGAAAAACCCTAAACAAATTTAAAAAGAGGCTCCTGCCAGCACCTCTAACAGCTGCTGCCCTTGTAACCACTGACTGTTTTACCACTTTGGAGCCTGCAGGTCTGATGTTCTTTCCGAAACCCTGACACACATCTAGGAAGGGGCCAGGGAACCCACCTGACCTAATAAGGTGACTCTTTTGAGTTAGATTTCTATTCTGACACCAGATGGGGCCTGCCAGAGGGTCGCATACCAAGGGAAATAAGTATTCTCAAACAATAGAAATAAATACGACTATGTTTGCCTTTTTATTTAAAACAATGAACAAAAACAACTTGGGAATTAAACATAGTCAACACAGATTTCAAAAAACGGAAATTTTAAGGGGCCATATTCCATGCTAGATGCCCCTTCAGATGCCCCTTCCTGCTTTTCAAGTTTTGAGTGTTTGGTGAAGGATCCCATGATTTGAAGAAGGCATAAGAGGTTTGGGATGAGACCCCATTTCGTAAGGGTCATCTCTAAAACTGCCTGATTATCTGGTGGGAATGCTATCTCCTCACTAAAAGCCTGTGGTTAGATTAATGCTAGCATTTGAAAATCTGCCCCCGCCTGATGGTGGGCAGTCAGGAAAGGAATGTGTTTTCTGTTTATCTCTTTAGTGGCAGAAATGTTCATCACATAAAGACAGTGAGCTCCCAGTTTCAGGCATGCCTGGAAGTTGTATACTCTGTAGTCTGTGAACATGAACACCAGCTCTTGAATGAGCAAAAGAACTGGGCCTTGTGCTCACAGCCAGTTGCATAGGTTGGTCGATGGGTTAGTCAGTTTCTTCAACTTGATAATGGAGGTAGATCTTGCCCCATTGTTCCCAAAGGAAGTTTAACCACCCCCATTGCTTTATCTCCCAGGAATGCAGTTTGCGTTGTGTCTCCTCCTTGCAGGCTGAGACCTCAGTAAATTACCAAGGTCTTGACTCAAGAGATGAAGAAGTCCTAAGTGATTTTTCAGTCTCCTATCTAAAAATGTGTTTACATTTCTTGAACTCTGGCTGACTGATTCATTCTCCTGGTGTTGCAAGAACTTTCCTTATGCGTTAGAATTTATAAGTTTCATTTCTAAGAGACCCATGGTTTCTTCCAAGCCACAGTGAAGTGAACCTCATCGCAACACAATTATGCTGGGCTGGATTTGTCCAGAGGATGGACCATGGCCAAGCAGCTGTGATGTGGCAAGCTCAACTGAGGCTAACAGGAGGCAGTGTGATGTGGAGGGAAGCGTACAAGACACTAAGTCAGGACATCTGGGTTCTGGTTCCTGGTCTTGCACTATTCAAAGGTATGGCCTTGAGCCAATTGAAAGAAAACACTCTCTGGGCATTAAGTTTCCCCCAAGCTGATTTAAATAAGATATGTTTTAAATCTGTGCAGAAGCCATTTCCAACGAGACAGAAGAGGACAGTTGAGAAACAACAGAAAAGGGAAGGTCAGCCCACAAGGAATGAGCAGAGGCTTCAGGTCAAAAAGACAAAGATACAGAGTCACATAAGGCCACAGCCTCTTAAAAGAGCTACTTATGAGTACCAAGTATGAAAAGAACTTTTTGTTGGACACTGGTCCCAGAGAGGAGACTAGAATCCTTTTCAGTAGAGCCATGTGCTTAGCTAAATCTGTTCTCCTCAAATAAACATTCCTTTATAAACATTAAATTTACTTTCTTAGGAGAAAAAAAGAAAAACAAAATAAATCCTATCCTTTTGCACCATGGAGTTCTAGAGTCAGGCAGTCTTGGACGCAAATCCTTACTCAAAACCTCACTAGTCGTAAAATCTTGGGTGAGTGACCCTACCTTTCATGCATCGGCTTGCACACCTGTAAAGAACAGTGACGATGCCAACCACAGATGAGGGTCATGGGGGTTACACCAACACCATATCTGTGTCAGAGTGGCACCTGCTTTATGGCAGGCTCTGAGATTTCCATTAGTCCCCTCACATCAGCCTCACTTTGGCCTCTGCCTTTGTTTGCTTCGTGTTTCCACCTCTCCTATTGCCCCTCCACACTGTGAGGAAAAGGGAAGTCTCTATTCTATGTGGAAAGCTGAGAAGCATTTTCCTACTTCAGTGAAATGAGAGCATACAAAATTTATATTCATACAGCATCAGCAGATTTTTTCCATCAATATTTCCTTTTTAATTTCAGCTTTATCTGAATTTTAATAGCACAAAGAATTTGCTTTTGTTCTTTTAAAGAGCAACCAAAATAAGAAAAATGTAAATTTGAACATAAGGTCTTAGCACCACATTTAAAATGGAGTTAAGACTATGCCTGTAGAGGTTATGGGTATCATGTGGTGAGTAAATATGAATGCCATGGGTGTATATGTGTTTATAATCTTATATACATATGAACTAGGTGTGTATGTGTACAGTATATATTATATCAAAATTCATGAGACCTAGATCTGACAACCTTGATCCTTTTTCTCTGATTTTCACCATAGCAAACACTGAATCCAGAACCAATCGTCACATGAATCTTCATGAAACCTCACCTTTGACCCAAACAACAGAGAAGCAGGTATAGTACTGACTCTAAAGGAGCATGATACTGAGAGGCAAGATGCCTAGGTTCTTGTCTCAGCTTGCTGTGTGACCCTAGGTGAGACTCTTCAGCTCTCTGGGACTCATTTGCCTAATTAGTAAAATGATGCAAGTAGACTATAAAATCACAAAGGTTCCTTTACAATTAGATTCAGAATGTCTTAACTCAACTTGTACTGAATTGTATGGCTCTTTGTGTGTGTAAATAAGATGAAGAGGCCTTTCCCCGACTTCTGCAAAGTCAGAAAGGGAATACAGAAACTCAGAAAGGTACCATCCATTGAGGCAGTAAGGCACTAATTTTCATTCCTAATAAAGAGGAAAAATTAGCAATCAAGGAAAAAAATATGCCAGGATAAACGTGAAGCAAGGAGGACGATACTGCATCTCCATAGGTTAAGAGTATCTATTAAAGGTTTAAGGACATATGTTCACAAATATTAATGAGTTTGTTCCTTCATTGGAAGCTTTGAGGCCGGGACTGTCTTCAAATTCTCTCTAGAGAGAAGATGACTCAGGGGAATTCCCAGAGCTAAATCCAAGGTCTGAGAGAATATGAGGCAGAAACAGCATTACAGCTCCAGGGGACTCTCCCTTTGACAGCCTCCCAGGCCATGATCTTTATTTCTCCCTTAAACTTCCTGAGACAGCCTGGCTTTCTCCTCTCCCCTTGCACTCATCAAAAATAATAATAATAGAATGAGTTTTTCATCTGTGTGCCTGAGCTGGGTTCTGAGGTAGGACCTGAGCTCTCACAGTGACAGCCCTAGGCCTGGATCAGCCCCCACTGAGGAGAAGCCCAGCTGAGCTCCACCTTCCCTGCTACAGAGGAACCACAGAACTGACATCCGCATGTTTTAAAAATGCCTACTTTAAAGACGCCCTTTATAAGGAATCGAGAGACATTACTTTTTTGAGACTGTCTGTACTAAGGAAAACATAATATCATATATTTTTATAATTTCCACAACTCCAAAGGCCACGCAAATGCCTCATATGCCCTAAACACACTCCAAACTCACACAGCCCTGTGGCTGTATTTCAGGAGGCCCCATATTGCCTGGGATAAAAGAGTGGCTCAGCATGTCAAATTAAATCCTAGACTGAATTATTAACTTTGCAACCAGAAAGAGGAGCACCAGACGGAGGGTCCTAACCTCTAATCCTGGGTTTCCTCCGTGAGGCTACTGGCAAGTCAGCTCACTCTGAGAACTTCATGTGCCTTCTCTGTGAAATGACTGGGCTGTTGACACCAGTTGGTTTGTTGGAGTCACTGTAGTCTTAATTCCTTTAGAAGTAGCTCTGGATAGAAAAGCCATCTGAGGAAAAGTCTAGTGCGCCCGCTCCCACAGCCCCCAAACACAGAGAAAACTGGGTGGAGAGTGGGGTATCTTCCTTCTCCCCTCCCCCCTTACTTCTTGAGGCTAATGGCCCTTTATTAGAATAATCACTAACTTCAATTGTAACTACTTCCTCAACCTACTCCATGTAAATGACTAATTTCATGTTTACTAGAAAGCATCTGGAAAGGATTTAGAAACAAATTTCTGCCCAGCAGATTTCAGTTACCTACCTTGATGGGCCACTGGCAAATCCAGTGGATTCCTTCCACTGCCGCCTTGCCCACTCTGAAGCAGGCGAGGGTGTCCCACAAAATTGATCTTTATCAGCTTCGTTAGTTTCTGTTCTTCGTTCCTTTCCATTAACTCCCCACTGACTCGCCCCCTCCCTCCCTTCCTTGGGGTCTGACCATATTAGGCTTTCAGTCACATAAAATACTTTTACTTTTTTATCACCAGTGCTAGTGGGGGGCGGGGGGAGACTCCCAAAGGTGGAAACTATTTTGGTTTCGCCACCCTTTAATGAGAAGTTACATACCTAGATTTGGAAAACAATTTCTGAGCGTGTGGGCAGGAGAGAAAGCCAGCCCGGGCTTGGCAGACGTGCCTGGGTTGGAGGCGCCACCAGGTCCCCGCAGCTGCCTGCGGGCGCCCCCTGCCGGCGGGACTGGAAAGCTCGGCTCCGCGTCCGCGCGGCGGCGGGCGGGGCGCCCCTCGGAGCGCGCGGGGAGGGCGCAAACGGTGGCCCCGGCTCCCGAGGCACGTCTCCCACACCCGACCCCGGGATCAGGGCCCCGGCGCGGTGAGCCCTTCAAAAGATATGAGAGTAGCCGCCGACATCGGCAACTTCCTAGGAGTTGGAAGAGGGGGTGAAGTCAGGGAGAAAGAGGGGGAAGAAAACTACACGGGGAAATGCGGAGATGAAAAGACCAATGAAAAAAGAAAAAGGAGACAAGCAGACATGTTTCAACTCCAAGCTCCCATTTCCTCTTTCAAATGAACTGCTTCCCCACTGTGAACAGAATCAAGTATTTATGAAGGCATTTTTTGCATATTAATAGCTGCATATGGAGCATTGCCAGTTCTGAAGTCCTAAAGGTACGGTGCCCTTTTTTAATGCAGGTCTTTCAAACTCCTCACAGAATTTGGTATTCTCCTTCAGATTTATTTTCCTTCCTGCCTTGTGGGCTCCTCCTAAGGCCCTTCATTTGATTAAGGGAAATTAGTTTCTGGGATACCTTCAGAGACCAAGTATTGCTCTTCCCTTGGTAGGTCGCGGACATCAATCGCTGGAGACGCTTTTCCTCTCCCCCAGGGCCTCTCTGTGCAGGGGCCGCAGGTTGGGTGAGGTGACCGGTACCTAAGAAGAGTATTAAATTGTAAATGAAAATTCCAGGAGGAGACATTAACTTACCTACACAGTGGTGGGAGAAAGTAAAACTTTTTCCAAAGGCAAAATAATTTTATTAACTTTAACATTACTATCCATACTCAGTAAAGATTACCTCCAATTAAAAAGAAATTGAGAACCAGTTTCAAAAGACAAACAATTTGTATCAAAAAAAAAACAGTAATGGAAAACAAATATGGAGTCTGAAGCAGTGGCTCATGCCTAAAATCCAAGCACTTTGGGAGGCCAAGGTGGGAGGATTGCTTGAGGCCAGGAGTTGGAGACCAGCCTGGGTAACATAATGAGACCCTGTCTCTACAAAAAAGTAAAAAAAAAAATGGTGCCACGTGCCTGTAGTCCCAGCTACTCAGGAGGCTGAGGCAGGAGGATGGCTTGAGACCAGGAGCTGGAGGTTACAGTGAGCTATGATTGTACCACTGCACTCCAGCCTGGGCAACAAAGTGACACCCATCTCTTAAAAAAGAAAGAAAGAAAAGAAAAGAAAAGCGGAGGGGAGGGGAGAGGAGAATGAATATGGAAAAAATATTCATCCTGAGTAGCAATTTAAATGTGTATTGAGGCAAACTGGAGGCACCATTTTATATTTAAGATTTGTGCCTCCTCCCACTTTTTTTAATGGTATACACTCAGTGCTATCAAAGCTTTGGTAAAACTGGTACACTTACACACTTCTGGTGGATTGTAATTTGGTTCAATCCATTGTAAAGCAAATGAAACATGAAAACGTACTCATACCTATTGATTCAGTATTTCTGACTTCTAGGAATTTATCCTAGGGAAATAATTCAACAGAAAAAAACTCAGTGAAGATGTCTATCGCAGCATAATCTATAATAAAAATTGAAAACAGCCTAAGAGTCTAACATTGGAGAATTCAGAAAATATAACTAAATTATGATATATCTCTCTCAGTGAGGGGTTTAATTCAGGCATTAAAAAAGGATGATTGTTCATACTAGAAACTGTGATTTAATACTAATGGTTAACACAAGGTTTCTCAACCTTAACACCATTGACATTTTGGGCCAGGTATTCTTTGTTATGGGGAGATTTCCTGCTCCTTGTAGAATGTTGAGCAGTATCCCTGGCTATTCCCCACGAGATGCCAGTTAGTACAACCCCCCAGTTGTGACAATCAAAAATATTTCCGGATCTTGATAAATGTCCCCTGGGAAGTAAAATCACCCCCAGTTGAGAATGACTGGTTTAATATTTTAAAAGTGGAAATCAAAATGACTGCAGGTATGTAACAAAAAGTACCTATAAGGAAAAAACTTGCAAATAATGCATGAAAAAATGTAGTCCTGCTAACTTGAAATTAGGAATATGTTAGGTTGAGGTTTTTGTTTTTCTTTGTTTTCTGGGTCTTTTTTTTTTTTTATTTTGCCTTTTATCAAATTCTCCCTATAAGAAGGAAAGATGGATTATAAGAAGAGCTGGTTTTATTCAAGTCTAGCTTAAAATTATCTAGGACTCATAGTATACAATAAGTATATAGCAAGCTCACAAGGGTCAACACCATAGCACCATTATTTTTTAACTATTGTTAGTAAAAACTAGATAACATTAATTAGGTTTGTTTTGTTTTGTTTTTTTGTTTTTTATTTAAATATATAAAATAAATTTTCTTTTACATTTCTAATCTTTTATTATTTTAGTGTTTCTAGAAGTGAATAATTAGATTTTTATTGGATTATTGAATAAAGCAATTAGAATTCTTCTTTTAAGTACCTCAGCTCCTTTTTTGGCATTTTATCCCTCTGACTCTAGACTTTGGAGGGCAATGAATTTGTCTCTTTTTCTGAAAAATTGAATCTCAAAATATGAAACTCTTGTCCATTTAGATCCATCTATGTAGGTTTGGGACAAGACTACCCCTGAGCCCACTGGTTTATAGAGTGTCAGGGCAGAGAGGTTGTCAGTAAAGAGCATCTAAGTATAAGCTCAACCTCAATTAGGTTTCCCAAGAATCATTGCATTTCTTTAAAATAAGAAAGAAAGCATCTCCCCATTTTCACATTGTCTGTTTTCTCCCTTTGTTTCAACTATGTCCAAGTTAGGGAAAGCAAATATCCTTTCTCACATGCTTTATCTTGGGTTTTGTTTTGTTGCTTTGTGGGGATTAGAACTTTTGGTAGTGTCCTAAAAATCCTGTTATACTTGAATTTTGTTCCTTTTTTCAATTTCACAAAGCGACTTCTATTTCAACCTATATTATCTCTTGAG